GGCCATGTTGAGGTACATCTCGAGGTTGCGATCTGGCATTTAGGGGCCGCGTACGCCGGGGTGCGTGGCGGGTGCGTGCCTTAGGGCGGCCTATAAATAGGTCTTGACAGCGCTGGTCTGAAGGAATCACACATTGGAAGGGGTGTTGTCATCTTTATAGGCGCATCGCAGTGCAGGGGTGGAATGGGGGGGACATACCCTGGGGGCGAGGCCGGCGAATTCGAGGACTTTGATCCCGGTTAGGGGGGGTTGGCCGGGCATTGTGATGGAGGTTGGGGTGGTGGTGAGGATTTTGAGGGGATTGGGTGGTTGATTCAATGGGAGGTTGAGATGTTCAATCCGTTCCAATCTAGATTGATTCTCGGAACCTTTATGGTATTTACACAATACAGATTCGGCGATGCCTGCCGGGAGCCCTTGGCCCACATGTCCCGGTAAGCCGAGGCTCCCGGCCCCGGTCCGTGTGGGGAAGTGAGGAGAAATGGGGAGTGTGGGGTAGGATCCCCGTCGTCTCGGCGGGTTCACGGGAGACTACCGGGGTGGTCGATTGGAAGGGCAACAAAGGAGATCTGGAGGTTATCAGATTAAGTGCTGACGGCGGAGACGGAGGAAAGAGAACGCGCGATATAATTAAATACATACACTAAATTATACACACCTATCGTGGGAACAAGGGCACTCACACGTACCTCCCCAGCAAGGTATCTAAGCGACGTTGGCGGTGATACCCGGTTCGATAACCTCCAGTATCTCCATCAACTCGTCCCAGACCTTCTTCTGCACCATCTTGCCCTTCTCCGACATGACAAACCGACTGGTGGTCTCCACCCTGCCGCCATCCATGTATTTCCCGTGACTCTCTCTCCCCCCGGCGATGGCTGAAGTAAAGGCCCTCGAGCCCTGCTCGGCGGTGCGACCGAAGAACAACAGCGCAAAGCCCAGCATGAACTGGGCGAAGGAAAATAGATCTCTGAAGAGCTCTGACATGCACAGACCGGGGTTTGCCGTGTTCACCACGACGGGGCTCGCCCCGGCACTAGCAGCATCCAACCGGGCCGCGAGCTCCTGCACGATGAGAATGTCGAGTAGCTTAGTTGTCCCATAGCGGTCGTGCATGGCGCCTCCCGGTCGGAATGACTCGAATATATTTGGCAAGTCTTGCTCGACAAATCTCGTCTACGAACACAAGATAGTGAGCAAGGGAGACGGGCCAAGAAAGAGCTGCGCCGGAGTAACTCACAAAAAGATGCGCCTCGCTCGCCACCACGGTCACGGCCGGCTCAACATTGCACCGCGCCGCCGTCCTCTTCATCACCGGCAGCAGCATCAACACCAACAAAAAAGTCGAGATCACATTCGTCGTCACCTGCATCTCATACCTCTCGGCCATCCTGGTGTTGAGGGTGAGCATCGCGCATTCGCCAGCAACACATCCAGCCTGTCCAGCTCGGCCATCCGCGCGGCGGCAGAAGGCGCGCACGCTGTCGAAGGAGCACAGGTCGAGCGGCCATACCTCAATGACCGGAGGAGTGGAAGTGGCGAGGAGGGACTGCTCGATGTCGGCTTTGGCGGCCTCGCCGCGCTCGGTGCGCCGGCAGGCGAGGATCAGGCGGGCGGCGCCCAGCCGGGCAAAATGGCGGGCTGCTTCGAGGCCCAAGCCGCCGTTGGCACCGGTCACGATGACGGTGCGCCCGGCGTAGGAAGTGGTGGGCACGGGGATCCAGCGCAGCTGGCGGCGGAGGAAGGAGAAGGGGTAGGTGAGTCTAGATGGGTGGGTGAGTATTTGGTTGGGGATGAAGGTGGTGGATGACTTACAGGGTCCATTTTTGAAAGGGACAGGGCAAATTTAGTGAGTGTAGTGATGGCAAAGGTAGTTATGGCCAAGTGAGTGTGAAGGGGAGATGATGCAAAATAACAAAAATAATAACTAACTAGTTAATAACTAATTGTTTATATTTCGTTGGCCAAGAAACGCCCAAATCATGTCGATTTCCCCGGGTCAAACAAGCGCCGGTGGCAAAAGCAAGTCTAACCATAATTGGGTTATTTCATAGTTGCGTAATTATGATCAAGTGTATTCGGGTTGGTATTCATAAGTGGAAGATGCATTGCCGCCATTCTGGGAAGGAGGTGAGATAAATGCATTCACTGACGGCGGGTTGGGGTTACACATCACGGCTTGAACCCTAACCCCCATGCCGTTACCGGCCTGTGCCGGCGTCCCGGCTTAGTTATATCGTCGCCGAAAAAGTCGCGGGGCATCGGCGTCGCTGTGATTCGCCTCGGAGAATCAACACCTTCCATTGTCACACCACACAACCACCAATATGTTTTCCCGAACGATACTCTTCTAAAGTAAGCCCCTAGAATACCTCCCAGTATTGACAAATAATTCACTAACTCCATCCCCAGGCAGCCCGGCCAAGCGCCTTCTCGGCAATCTGCCCCATCGTCCGCCCTTCCGTCGCTCCCGCCGCCCCCTCATCCTTCCTCCTCTCCATCGCCGCCCAGCGCCGCCTCCTCTCGGATGGTGTCCGCCAGGCCATCGACAAGGCCGTCGGGTCGGCCCCAGTAGTGCTGTTCATGAAGGGCACACCCGAGACGCCCCAGTGCGGCTTCTCGCGCGCGAGTATCCAGGTGCTGGGTCTGCAGGGCGTCAACCCGGAGAAGTTTGCGGCATACAATGTGTTGGAGGATGCTGAGTTGAGGGAGGGTGCGTTTTTTTTTCTTTATGGTGTTATGGGTGGCAAGACAAAAGCTAACAAAAGCCAGGCATCAAGGAGTACTCCGACTGGCCGACCATCCCGCAGTTGTACATCGACAAGGAGTTCGTCGGCGGCTGCGACATTATCGTGTCCATGCACCAAAACGGGGAGCTGGCCAAGATGCTGGAGGAGAAGGGGGTATTGGTGAAGGAAGAGGGTGCCGCCGAGGGGGGGGGAGAAGCCGGAGTAAAATAAAAAACCAACACCACTGCTTGCGCAGCTGTACATTACATACCCACGATACCACGGCACGTTTAGAACTGTAACACATCCCTTTCTTCCCAACCCCCCCCCCCCCCCCCCCCCCACCAGCTAACTAATCTCATTCACTGCCTAAGAAGATCAGGCCGGATACGCGGCCCCATCCCCACGCATATCACTCCCCCCCGACCACACCCCCGTCCCCTCCACCTCATCCACCGTCCACCTCACAATCTGCCCGCGCCCAAACATCTGCCTGCCCATACCACCCCACCCCCCGAGCACCTTGACCGGATGCCCCAACTTCCGCAGCCCCTCCACCGTCGCCTCGGGCATGCCCTCCTCCACATACACCACCTCGCTATACACATCCCCAACATCCGCCATCCCCGCCCCGATACACACCCTCGGCGCATCCAGCGCCTGCTGCGGGTTGAGCGCGCCCACAATCTGCCCCAGAAGCACCTGCACGTGGCCCTGCGGCTGCATGAACCCACCCATGACGCCAAACACACTATGCAACTCCCCCTTTTGGGGCCCATCCCCGTCCCCCCCCTCTCCGAGACAGGTCACCAGCCCCGGGATGATGGTATGGTAAGGCCGCTTCCGCGGCGCGAGCACGTTGGGGTGGCCGCGGGTCAGGCTGAAGTTCGCGGCCGCGGTTCTGCAGCGTGAAGCCGCAGCCGGCGCGGCACCATGGGCCGAGCCGAAACCCGCGTAGTTGGAGTTGATGAAGGAGATGGCGTTGCCGGCGGAGTCGGCCGCCGCGAAGTAGACCGTGTCGCTGGAGCGGAGGGCCGGGGAGGGAAATGTGTTGGGGTTGGGGTTGCCGTGGGTGAGGTCGGGGGTGGTGGCGGAGGGGTTGAAGAGTTTGGCGCGGGAGGCGAGGTAGGGTTGGGAGATGAGGGAGGCCGAAGGGGACGGGCGTGGTGGTGGGGTCCGTGACGAACCAGTGCGCGTCGGCGAAGGCGAAGGCGGAGGCATTCGATGATGAGCGTGGAGGGTAGGGCGTGGTGTTGTGGTCCGCGGGGGTGAAAGGTGGGGATCTTGCCCTGATGCTTCGAGCTCTTGGAAAATGCCGAGCGCCATCAGCGCTACGATGCCCTGCCCGTTGGGCGGGTGTTCCCAGAGCTCGACGCCGCCGCCGCCGGGGGAGGACCGCGGGGAGGAGCCGCAGCCCTGGCCGCGGAACTTGAGCGAGATGGGGTCGACTGGCTCGCTGCCCTGTTCGAGGTGGTGCGCGAGGTCGGCGAGCTCGAGGTGGCCGCCGCGGTCGCGGACAACCTTGATGATTTCCTCGGCGATGCGGCCCGTGTAGAAGCCCTTTTTGCCTTCTGTCGCGAGCGTGCGGAACGTCCGGGCGAGATTGGGCATCTTCATGATGTCGCCGGCCTTGGGGGCGCGCACCCCATCAGGGGCTGACGGGTCGGCCTTGAGCATCTCCGCAAAGTTGGGGGAAGCCTTGCGGAGGGGTGCCTCGTTGACTTTCCACTAGAGAAATCAGCCTTGGGGACGCGGGAAGGAATGTCAGATCGGGGACCTGACTTACAAAGAAGGCAGTGTCCTCGGAAACAGGGAACCCCTTTTCGGCCAGCTCAATCGCCGGCGCCAGGATCTGTTCCATACTCAGCTTGCCGCTCCCGAACCGCTCGACCGTGTCGACCCATCCCGCCGCGGCGCCCGGTACGGTGGCGGCGTGAACGCTGTTCATGGGCATCTCGCCGAGCTCGTCATCGGCCAGCCCCAAGTCCTTGCGGATCGTCTCGAGTGTGCATTTGCCGCCTGACCTCCCCGAGCCGTTCAGGGCCGACACCTTGCCGGTTTTGGCGTCGTAGTACAGGCAGAACATGTCGCCGCCGATGCCGGTCGACGTGGGCTCGGTGATGTTGAGACCGGCGGCTGGTAGTGTTAGTGTACATGCACGGTGTATAACATGTTCAGGGGTTGACTGGGTAGGTACATACCCACTGCGACAGCAGCGTCCTTAAGATGGGTCAGCTTTGGTGTTTTTGAGACTCAACGGGGCCGGAACTCACAGCAGCATTACCACCAGCATTTAGAATGTCGATGCCGCATTTGGCTGCCAGGGGCTGTGTGCATGCCACCATGCCCTTGGTGCTGTGCACTACACTCCGCCGGCTAGGCCATTTCAAGAACTCGCCGCACGCTGGCGGGTACACGGATGGTGTGGTCAGGGGCATGTTGAGACTCGGGGGCGTGGGGGAGTGTGAAGGAATGTGAATGTCCGTGTAATCAGTCCGGTAAGCTATCTCGGATGCTTCTTAGATCGACGGCGGGACGAGGCTATATATATACTTGGCGGTTATCGTCGTTCTACACGATAGCTCCCCCGATATCCGGCCGGTCGGCATGTGCTTGCGGCCCGGATGGCCCCTCCCCCTCCTTTTGCCTCGCAGGTGGAGATGCGGGGAGCCGAGAGCCGGCCAGGGTCGATCTTCTTGACGTATTACCCGCAGCTCACATGCCTGTACAGGGCAAGCCTTGTGAAGCACGACATGTGTTAGTCCCCTTAGCACGCATATTACAGTCCAAGATATTCATTTTGAACTCCCTTCGCAAATCATACGCATGTATTATTATCGAGTCTTGAGGGGAAATACAGGGACAGATCAGTCTTCGGAACCAATGGCATAGATTGAATACCATCAACTATCACTCATTATAAACACCATCTCAACCCACCCAAACAAGCCCCGTCCAGTCCATACCCCCCTCACCACCCTCACGTCGCCCTCAAATCAGCCACCAACCGCCTCCCCTCCCCCTCGACACACTCCCTCTCATGCACCACCTCCCTCCCCGTCTCCATCAACGCCGCCTCCACCCACTCCCTCACGCCCCTCCAGCTCCCCCATCCTCCTCACATACCCCCCTGCCCCCCTCCCCCAAAAACCTCTCCCCCACCCCCTCGTACGTCTCCAACCTCCAACACCTCCGGCGCAAAAAAAGCATCCACTGCCCCAAACTCCCTGCTGCCCAAAACGGACCTTTGTAACCTCTCCTGCTCCTCCTTGGACATCTCCTTACCCGTTGTAACTCCCCCGCAGACTACTCCCCTTCCACCCCAGGAAACACCCCCTCCCCCAGCGCGATCCGCACCCCGATGTTGAACCCCAGCTGCTGGCGGATGGCGGCAAAGCCCGCGTGCATCTCGGCGACGGCGGAGCGCGCCCACGCGCGGGCGGCGGGGAGCGAGGGGTAGATGGGTTTGGTGGGGTGGGACTCGGCGAGGTGCTCGGTGATGGCGAGGGAGTCCCAGACGACGAGGGGAGGTGGGTTTGGGGTGATGGTATCGCTGGGGTTATTGGTGGTGGTGGTGTCCGGAAGGATGTGCAGGCAGGGGACGTGGGCGACGGGGGAGAAGGCGCGCCATTGGGGCTGGGCGAAGGTGCCTGAGATGAGGGGGTGTAGGTGTTCGGTGAAGGGGATGTCGAGTTGGCGGAAGAGGAGCCAGGCGCGCAGGGACCAGGAGGAGTAGTTCTTGTTGGTGATGTGGAGGTGGTAGGCCATTTTTGTTGTTGTGTGTCACTCTCCTTCCGGTTGTTGTTTTGGTGTTTGTTTTGTTTGCTTCTGGGGAAGGGGATAGTGAGATGATGATGAGTTACCTCGACCTGGGGGACGGTGCCGAAAAATGAAGCGGGGAGTTGAGAGGGGTTATGTTATATAGTGCGCAAGCGTAGGACAAGCTCGTACTACCGTGAGACGGTTACCAAGGCCATTGATTGCACGCCGCCAGACTGTCTCATATAGGCATCTAAGATCATACGCCCTTCGACTGACTGGCCCCACAAGTACAGATCTGGGCGCACTCAACACGACCATTCCTTGCTCTCGAGTGGGGTCAAACAGATAGCAGATAGCCCTTCCGTGGTCACAGCTCTCTCGAACCGCGGCCGCAGCTCACAAGTCTATGTGCTTGCTCACCTGGTTGAGATGGCCCTGTTTGGCATCAAAGATGGATTCTACGCGGTCCTATAAACCCCTTCCCAAGCCCAAAGTTCATGCCGCTTTCGCTGCTGCTGCTTCCGCCTTCTCCTTTGCCTTCTGGGCCTTCTTGGCCTCGGCTTGCCTCAGCTTCTCGAGCTTCTTGAGCTGGTTTTTGGTCATCTTCCCATCGCCCTCTGCCGCCTCACCACCCTCCCCATTCTCGACCACTGGGACGACTATCGTCGCGCGGGGGTTGCCTCCCCACTTTAACGGCCGCGTCTCCATGAACTCCTTGACTGTCTCGTCGCTCACCTTGGCTCTCCTCTCCTGGAAAGCGGCTACGTAGGTCTGGAGCTCCCTGATGCAAATGGCCTTGAGTTCGCCCGTCAGCATCTCCCCCTTCTCGTACTCCCCCTTGATCCTCTCCAGCTCTTCGTCGTCTTCGAGGAAGAAGCGGAGGTATTGGAACGCCACGTCGACGCTAGTGTCGCCGCCAAGGCTTCTGTGTTCCTCAACCGACACCTTGCCGCCCGAGAAAGCGTATTTGTTGATCTTGTTCTTGATCTGGTTGGGGGTGTCCTTCATGAAGACTGCTGCTATCAGCGGGCGACCTTGTGAATCACGGCCTAGTACAGTAACCTACTTGCGGATTCATCAATAGAGGCGGACATCTGCGGGCAATGTTAGCTCAGCCTTCACAATACAAGACCCAAAGGTAGGAGTATACCTTCGTGCCAGGCCCTTGGAGAGCCGGCAGGAAGAGTGAGTGAATGAGGGATGGCTTGGCGTAGGGCTTCCCCTTGTACTTTAACCTCGCCGACACATCCCGTGTCATGCGGAAATCTGCGCTAGTTAATCAAATGCAAATGCCATTAGGCAGTGTTGGGTGCTTACAACTAGGGTTCGTCAGTACGGCAACAACCAAAAGGGTGTGTGGGTAGTCAAGTAGTCAGATACTGCGGGTTGCTTCCAACGCCTGGATAGGGTTCACCTACGGATCTTGGTCGATGGCGCAAGGACTATCACCGTTAGTAATGAAAAATGATGGAACTTCCAGGGCATCTTACATGAGCGCCGGTATCCCGACCGTCTTGGTCTCATCTTCGCCAAAGATATGTGGGAATGACGACGCCCAGCTTGTGGCCCCTGTGCTGCAATTAGTCGCTGTATGGCGAGCCCAGGAAGTGACAACGCGCACCTTGAATGCTGCCAAAGTGAATTCTCCCAATATTGCTACTCTCGTTGAATCCGAAGATGGCGCGGGCCTGGTTGAGTGTGATGTGCTTTGACAGGCGGACGATATTCCTGTAAAAGGCGCCGCCGACATAGTCGAACTGAGCTGGAGTCAGCCCCTGAGCTATCCTGTACCTGACTCCTGTATGTGCTTACATCAGAAAAGATGAAGGTCTTCGCGGGGTCAAAACCAATAGCAATGATGTCCTTGGAGTTGCTATTGCAGTACCCTTGCACTTCTTCGATCGTTCGCTTTTCGGAGAACAGATACCTAGCTTGGTTAGTGTGGCTCTCCGTACAGCCGATAGCCAATTCTTACTTCTCGTCGTCCGTCAACATGATGATGAGCTTTCAAAACGTTAGCATATTACCGACCCCGGTCCGTTACAATTCTTGTCCACGTACTGGCACGTCGAAGGTATCCTGGAGCCCTGGTGCGCCGGTGTTAGCCCCTGTCTGACGAAAACAGCCTCCGATATCCACCAAAAGGCCGCTCCTAAAACAGTCTCATGCGATTGGGGATCCGCGCATACACTTTGTAAACTCGAATGGGATCGTATGCCCCACATGTACACTGTCGGACGAGGGCCCGCGGCCCGTGTACAGGAAGAAGGGCTCGCCGCGTTCATAGCGGTCGAGAATGAGCTCGAAGTCTCGGTGGGAGAAAACAATGCCTCTCCGGAGGAAGTGGTGCGGGCGCTTGCCGGTTACGCGCTCGAAGCGGGCGAGCAGCTCGTCGTCGATCTTCTTGGTGCCGAACTCGTCGACTAACTTGTTGTAGTCGATGGCCTTGACCACGCCGTCCTCGCCAACCTCCCCGGATACCTACAAGCTGTTAGATTCGCCCCTGAGTGCATTTACCGAGCTTAGGTATGCTTTGTTCGTTCTATGACTGACATTGTAAGGATCAATCGTCTGCTTTTGCTGTTTGTGAACGGGTTCGGGAATCGGCGACTCGTCGAGAGACGCCGCGTTGGTGTTTGTGGCCATGCTGTGATCGGAGTTGTTGTCCTGATTCTACACTTCGAATTGCAGCGCGTGGGAGATATGCTCGAGTACAAGATGGCCCGTCCACTACCTTGTAGATTGGTGAGTCAATGTCGAATGTGACTCTGTAATCCGTAAAGTGTCAGGATGGTGGGGGAGGGGCACTTATTGCAGGGGCTTGGCGTCTGAGGAAGGCGGAAGCTGGCGGCAGAATCAATGCCTGCCGAGGGAAATTCCCAGGGGTTCGGCTCAGGCCTGCATTCGCTGAAGTTGCAGCGAGTCACGCTCTGTTGCCGGTTCTATGCCGATGCTCACCACGAGACAGCACCCGGTGTCTTGCGACTATGTTGGCGGCAGCACCATGGGTGTGCCGTAGCTGTGTGCGGTCCTTGAGACGCGCCGGCGTTTCCCATTTTGTTCGGCGGGCTAGCACAGGTATTGCTACTCTAACAGTTGAAAGTCGCAGTTTCAATTCTCCCTCGATTAACCTCGACTTTTCTACCAGAAACCCACACCACACTTCCCTCCGCCCTTCTCGAGCGCGCACGTAAACTTGCCATCGAGCATGACCAATTGAGCGCCGCCCTAGAAAATGACTTTGACGCAAAAAAGGCCAAACGGGCAGGCGAACTCTCGAGAGTTGCCAGCGCGGTCAAGGAGCTCGAAAAAGCCAAGGCTGCCCTCGTTGAGCTCCAGGGCTTGCTAGAGTCGAACGATGCCGAGATGCGGGAGCTGGCGAGAGACGACCTCGAGGCCACAAATGCTCAGCTCGCCGAGTCGAGCCACAACCTCTCGGTGGCCCTGACACCCAAGCACCCGTTCGCCGACATGCCATGCCTGCTCGAAATACGGCCCGGCCCCGGCGGCCTGGAGGGGCGTTTCTTTGCCGACTCTCTCTTTCAAATGTACAAGGCGTACTGCTCGAACAAGGGCTACAGAACGCGGATTGTGCAGTACGAGGCGTCCGACAGCGACGGTTCGACGGGTTCCGAGGGAGAAATCCCTCTGCAAGAAGCCGTGCTCGAGGTCCAGGAAGAGGGCGCATACGGCCTCTTCCGCGGTGAGGCGGGTATGCACCGAGTGCAGCGAGTACCCGCTACCGAGAAGAGCGGACGCACCCACACGAGCGCCGTCGCGGTATGGGTGCTGCCCTCCTTTCCGGAGAACGGCACCTCCGACTCCGAGGCCGACTGGGACAAGCCGGAGAGCGACTTCTACATCGACCCGAACGAGGTGCGGAGCGAGACGATGCGCGCGGGCGGCGCGGGCGGACAGCACGTCAACAAGACCGAGTCGGCCATCCGGCTAACCCACATTCCCACCGGCACGACGGTCAGCATGCAAGACTCGCGGTCGCAGCAGCGGAACCGCGAGGACGCGTGGCGGCTGTTGCGGTCTAGGCTTGCCCAGCAGCGGCGCGAGGCGAGAGAGGAACAGGCTCGCCAGCTGCGCAGCAGCGTGCTGGCGAACTCGCAAATCACTCGTGGGGACAAGATCCGGACATACCAGTACCAACAAGACCGGTGTACAGACCACCGGAGCGGGCTGAACACCCACAACCTGCCGGATGTTCTCCGGGGCGGCGAGACGCTAGAGAAGGTCATGGACAGCGTTCAGAATTGGCTGGTCAACAAGGACATCGAGGCGCTCATTGCTGACGAGGAAGCAGCTGCCGCCCCGTCGAAGAAGAAGAAGGGCAAATGATCTACTCTCGACTTGACCCGTATGTATTAAAATCTTTGTATCTACGGTACATCACAAACAGATGGATGGATAGATCAATACCCGGATAGATAACAGTCGAATCCATGTTTAGACTTCACCTCTCAATCACAAATACTGGATCTTATGAAGCCTCGAGGAGCCACTTGGACAAGGCCTGTTGAATCACTCCACTGTCTAGGTCGATCGCGGTCCCTCGAACAGAGCATTGCTTGGTCACCCTCCTCTAAGTTAACTCTTACGTACATCCACACGAGATTCGCAGCCCTATGGGATCCCGAGATTCCCATCAAACAGGAAAAAGTAAGAAGAACGGGAGGGAAGGTTGTCGAGTCGGACCCCTCAACATAAACTCCGGCCCCCAAGTTCGTGGACCAATCAAACTTCAATCTTTTCCCTTCCACCTCCCTAATCGGGACAGTCCTTCGACTTATCCTTGGCAGCACGGGAGCACCTCCCCAACCCCGTCTAGCTGCCCACCTGCCGCTGCACGATCGGCGTCTGCATGGAACCGTGCCACCTCCTTTCATCATTCCTTTGGCCTTAATGTATAGGATGACCCAAACACCCAAGTTACACAGCTGTGTCAACATGCCACACCTACTTCTTCTTCCGAAGGGCTGCAGACGCCACATTCTCAGGGAAATAGTATACATCGCATTACACACGCACATCCGGATGAATTCGCAAAAAAGAACCCCGCAGTCAACCGATATCCAAAGGTGGATGTACCGCGTGTCGACTATCTCCGGAATCTATCCCTGCGAGGCTCATTCCAATTGACTTCCTGGACGGGTAGGTGCAGAGCAGCTACCGTGGCATCGCGCATGCTATTAGCTCAACTCGCTTGCCCTGCCTTTCTGTTCCCATTGGGCATGACTCGGGACCGTCTGATCCTGATATCTCTGACAATGCAATACCCATCAATCAATATGCGGTTTCGGTGCCCGGTGGGTATCCCGGGTGGTATCGGGGGTAGCTCGGTACAGGGGGTGACGGGACCGAAAGCTTGCTTGGGGTTCGTCACCTTCCTACCTGATATCCCGAAGGCGGAATGTTATTCCTCGGTCCAAGATCGGGGTGCGGGCAGCAGCAGTACGTACGTAATCTAGTCGCTGTCATCCGAAGTATGGGTATATATATCTAGGTAGGAACTAGTTCCCACCACGCCGCAATGCGCGAGTCGAACTGTAGCCCAGCTTTCACTCAACCCTAGTAAAAATGTTGTGGACAAGCCTCCTCCCGGCGCTGCTGCTCACGGGGGTGGCGGAAGCTGCTGGCCGAAGTATCGCGCATGCTGGGAAACGTCATGTTGAGCATGCTGCGAAACGGGCGAAGCCGAACCTTGTCGCAGACCATCCTCGCCGGGTGATTGAGCGAGAACAGACCGGGCACAAGTTCTTGAATGATAATACCACCAGTGAGCACCCTACGACGCCAATGGACTGAGATTGTGTTACTAATATGCCGTTGTAGGATTCGCGGTTGATGGAAAGGGGATCCCGGATGTCGACTTTGACGTCGGCGAGTCTTATGCCGGCCTGCTCCCTATCAGCGGTGACCCAGACGACGAGAACAACCTGTTCTTCTGGTTTTTCCCCTCGACCAACCCGGCGGCCGACAAGGAGATTCTTATCTGGTTGAACGGTGGCGTAAGTTCCCCAGGAAAGATCACACATCCACGATACGCAGGCTAATAGTGATTTTTTGTAGCCTGGGTGCTCGTCTTTTGAAGGCTTGCTTCAGGAAAATGGGCCCTTCTTGTGGCAATACGGCACTTACAAGCCGGTCAAGAACCCCTGGAGTTGGCACACTCTGACCAACATCGTCTACATCGAGCAGCCCGTCGGCACCGGCTTCACCACCGGCAAGGCCACCATCACAAACGAGGAAGAGCTTGCCGAGCAGTTCATGGGCTTTTGGAAGAACTTTATCGACACCTTTGGCATGCACGGCTACAAGGTGTACATTGCCGGAGAGTCCTATGCGTAGGTCCCCTCCCCCCCTCCTCCGCATCAACTAATACTATTCCCCAAATCCCCACTAACCTCCACAAACAGCGGCTACTACTGCCCGTACATCGCCAGCGCCTTCCTCGACGCCGAGGACAAGACATACTACGACATGTCCGGCCTGACCATCTACAACCCGTCCCTCGCAGCCGACGAGATCCAAGAACCCATCCCCGCGGTGCAATTCACCGAGTACTGGGGCGGACTCTTCCCCTTCAACGACACCTTCCGGGCCGACCTCAAGCGGCGCGAACAGGAATGCGGCTACGCTGACTTCGTAGCCGAATACCTCGTCTACCCCCCCAAGGGCCCCATGCCATCCCAACTCCCAGGCACGCACCCCAACGGCACCACCCGCGACGAGTGCTGGAACATATACTGGGATATTTTCGACGCGATCCTGCTCCTCAACCCCTGCTTCGATATCTACCAAGTCGCCACCACCTGCCCCCTCCTGTGGGACGTGCTCGGCTTCCCGGGGTCGATGCCCTACCTACCCGAGGGCGCATCCATCTACTTCGACCGGGCCGACGTGAAGGCCGCCATCCACGCGCCGGCCAACAGCACGTGGGAGGAGTGCTCGTCGGACGACGTCTTCGTCGGCGGCGTCGACCGCTCCCCGCCCTCCACCGTCTCCGCCCTGCCCCACGTCATCGACGCGACCCAGAACGTCATCGTCGGCCACAGCGCCCTCGACATGATCCTGCTCGCCAACGGCACCCTGCTCGCCCTGCAGAACATGACCTGGGGCGGCGCCCGCGGCTTCTCCCAGCGCCCGGACCAGCCCTTTTACGTGCCGCAGAATGCCATGACCGACGCCTCGACCCTGGCGGCGGCCGGGGTGTTTGGGAGTCTGGTGTCCGAGCGCGGGTTGACGTACGTGGCGGTGGACCTGGCCGGGCACATGGTGCCGCAGTACGCGCCGTCCGCGGCGTATCGCCATGTCGAGTACATGCTGGGAAGGGTGGATTGCATGAACTGCACGAAGCCGTTCACGACGGACCCGGCGACGCCGCAGAGCGTGGGGGAGCTGGGGAAGGGTACCGCGCCGCAGGGGTGGAGTACTGGGATGGGGAAGGGGAAGGGGAAGGGTGATGGAAAGGGGAAGGGGAAGGCGGATCCCCGGCTGCGGAGGAGGACGAGATAGACGGTTATCAGAATCGCCGGGACCATAAATGCATACAGCTGATGAGGAATCGGCTTTACATTGATGGCCAGTAATGACAGTGATCCCACGTGTCCCTGTGTCTCCTGTCGGCCTGTCCTTGTCCTCGCCAGGCCTTCAAAAGGCCGACACCATGATGCTATCATACAAAATGCACAGAGAGTGGAACCAGGCAAAGGCCCGCGCCTTCAAAAACTTGCAGTATTTTCCCCGCCCTCCCCGCCTTGGTGGTCATGAGCGTAACTCCGTCGTGAAAAAATCCCGTGATATCAAAACAGTGATCCGATACGCCGTTGCCCGAGAGCTATAAAACAGGGATGAAGATATAAAATGTACAACACGGGAACCGCCAGGGAGCTGGCTTCCCTTTGAAGCCCGCCTCAATAGTTGAAGCGCGGATTGGAAAGTGAAGGGGAGTAGAAATGTCGATTCGAATCAACTCAACGCATCGTGTTGCGTGGCGAGGCGAGAGAGCGCGTGATGTGCGTCAAAGAGATGGTCCGTCCTGAAACAAGATGGGCATGCCGATGAATAGCCCAAAGTCGGAATGTTGCTGTAGTCGGGAATGTTCGTTTCCTTCCAAATCGAGAAGGTAGCACAGCGGACAGGCTTTGTTCAACGAGCAGCTTCTGCTGCCCCGCGTTGGCTCGCCATCTTCCTCAGCTCGAGCACACCCATGATGCCCGTCTGCCGTAGCCTTTCGAGGATCATGCACATGCCCTCGCGGCTCTTGCCAAGCTGATCCTGCGTCTTGGTCGATGCGAGCGTCTCGATGCTGCGCTGGACGCCCCGGGCGCCCAGTCGTGCAAAGAACCCGCCGCCGCCTTCGTTCACGGCCGCTTCTGCCTGTGCCTGTGCCTGCCCCAGCCGGTCCCGGATACGCTCGCCCAGCCGGGAGCGGAACACCACCCTGGTCTCGACATCTGTGTTGTCTGCTGCCGGCTTCGTCTTGGGCACGGCATAGAGCTGTCTCTCAACTACCGAGAGCACGCCAACAAAGTTGAGGTTCCGGCTTTCCGTCGCCATCCATCCCTCGCGCATGTCCACGATGCTCGTCTCAAGGATGTACGATGCCTTGTCCGTCGTGCCCCCCGTCAGGGACGAGGGCAGTAATTTCATGACACCGGGGGGGAGGCGTGACTTTTTGAGGTGAATGCGTGTCGTGTGTAGACGGCCTGTGTCCCTGTCGACGTGCGAGGAGATGGTGTCGGTGCTGAGAACATGGCTGGCAAAAGGGTTGAGCTGCGGGGAACAGTACCGGAGGAAGAAAGCGAGGGTAACCGTCGGGAAGGGGTGCGAATAGGTGTGGCTGGTGGTGTGTGTGAGGACCATGTTGCCTTTTTTTTTGCGGGTTCGAGATGCGTATAAAATTGAAATCGAATTGGTTGTACGGGATGTTCGAAGTGGTGATGGAATCTGGTTTCTGGGGGGGCAAGGAGCTTGGATCTCCAGGCCTGACGCGGGGGAGGCGATAGCTCGAGTTACACAAGGTCGAGGCTCGATCGGGTGGAATTGAGACGATGTAGGTACGAAGCAGCTTAGCTCCTTCGGTCGTGCTGCAGCGGGGGTCGTGCGAGAAGCCAGTCCAACTGTCTTCACAGATTGGACATCGGGGACGTCTTCTTGCGAGCAAAGACTTTCTCGGTGGTTTCCGGCCTCGTGGCTCGGCTTCTTCTCGTCGGTATCAGAGCGTGCTCCGGCGAAAAGTTCGCTCGGGATACCCCGATTTGGTACACGAGATGCTCTCACAATCGGAAGAGGTGGGAAGAATTAGGTTATATATCGGTCTGATTGGGAGATACCCCGGACGAAGTGGGTGGCCAAACGAGCCAGAGGGGGGGCGTAACGGTGACGATCATCAGGTCATCGTTCGCAGGAGCTTGTGCACTTTTTGGGTGGCCCCGCTTCAATCCGGAGATGGAAGCGAAGCAGCCGAGAACTCACGAGGGAGGGTGACTAACGACTGTAGCAGCTTTGCCCTCTCACATGCAAAACGTATCTGCAGACAGACCCTTAGAATTTTAAATAAGTGTGTGTACATAGCTAATGGCAATCCAAAATACGAAAGACTTCTTTTACGTCAACCCATCATCCCTGGGCTAAGTACTTAGCGTTGTTGCTGGCCAGCTGGTTGATAGTGTAAAGAGTCACCTCAGCTGCGAACAAATGTGGGGCCGCAGCTTCTCTCCTGTTCTCGAATCTTTTCTGCCTGAGGACAACGCTCGTGCAGACCAGGCAAAAACCAGAGGCACCGCTTAGTCACCAAGGACAGGCTGCGTGGGCACTTGAACTCAAACGCAGCCCTCGCCTTTCCAAATCGTCAGCCATCTTCCCTTCCTTTTCTGCCTCTTCCAAACACGACAACGCGGCACCCATACCACGCCGGGCCATCGAAACATCATATCCACGAAGGCGGCTTATCGCCCCCATTTCTTCTAGGAGCGGCGACTATAGATACCTTACTTTCAGTTCCACCTTCCGCCACTGCGACCGAGAACAAAGCGAACGGCCGTCGCTTGGAACCACGCTCGACACGAGAGCCCCGACCTAATCCACGGCAGAATTGTCGCCGTCACTGTCGTGGAATATTTGGCCGACCACATCTAAGCTCGTCTTTCTGCGCGCTTTACTAACCAGGTGTTTCTGAATTGCTGGCCGTGGTGGTGGTGCTACTCAGGAGGAGATCAATTGCGATTCTCCATTCACCCAGTTTTCAATAGGCAGCCAGAGTTTTGCAAGGGGTCTTTGTATTGCAATTTCTTTTCTTGCTTAACCACTCATTCATAAAGCGCTTTCTGTCTCTCTTTGAGAACAATCAGAATTGACTGCATCCAACTCTGGCGTTGAGAAAGAGAAGAGACGAGCACTACTGTGGCCGTGGGCAATCCTACAAGAACAAGAAAAAAAAACATCAAGTCATTTCTTCTCCATTCACCTTGTGCGAAACAGGCTTCGAAAGCACTTAATACTCACAGCCCGTTGCGAAGGCAAACTGCTTCTTGCGGCAGACCTCAACACCCCTTGCGCAAAACACAAACATCACTGTAAAGCGCTCACGCGACACCCATCAAAATGGCTTCCTCGGTCTTCTTCAAGTTCAAATCTCAGAAAGAGCCCACGCGTGTGGAGTTCGACGGGACAGGCATCTCTGTCTTCGAGTTGAAACGTGAAATCATCCTACGAAGCGGTCTCGGCGATGGAACCGACTTCGACCTTGTTATCTGCGCCGACGAGGGCATGAAGGAGGGTATGTATCCGAGGCATGGTCACACACATCACAATGCTAGGCACGCTAACGACGGTCCAGTGTATGACGATGATACCACCATTATCCCCCGCTCCACAACGGTCATCGCCCGCCGCATGCCCCCCAAGGTAGCCGGTAGAGGAGGCGCCGCTCGCTATGTCTCCGGGAAGATGCCCGTACATGCAAAGAACTCGTCGCGGCGAGAGCAGGTCGCCAAGCCAGCTGTCAAGGCACAATCTAACACGCTAGCGCAGCTGAGCAGTGCGATGACAGAAGAAGAGAAGATGGCGGCAGTCTTCCAGGCGCAAACCGAAAACTTCAGTTCCCGCGAGGAAGAGATGGCTACGTATGTCCCCCATTCCCATTTGAGTAGTATTCGGCGCTAACACAGTGTAGACAACAATACGTAGCCAAGGGAGGTCCCAAGAAACCGGCCAATGTCCCCGACCACGAACCCCCTCAGGGCTACATCTGCTACCGGTGTGGTGAGAAGGGCCACTGGATCCAACTTTGCCCAACAAACGACAACCCCGAGTACGACAACCGTCCCCGCGTCAAGAGAACCACCGGCATCCCCAGGTCGTTCCTGAAGACAGTAGACAAAGCGACAGCGCTTGGCCAGAACGCCGATGGCGAGGACTCAAAGACTCCGTCCGGCATCATGGTCAATGCGGACGGAGAGTTCGTGATTCATGAACCTGACAAGGCAGCTTGGGAGCAGTTCCAGGCTAAAGCCAAGGCGAACCCCGCCGCGCAGAAGGCCGCTGCCGAGGAGGACAAGGTCATCCGGGAACGAGGTTTGGAGTGCCCCGTCGACAAGAAAATGTTCATAGAGCCAATGAAGACTCCGTGTTGTGAGAAGACGTATTGCAATGATTGCATCACCAATGCTCTCATTGAGAGCGACTTCGTCTGCCCGGCTTGCAAGGCGGAGGGCGTCCTGATCGATGATCTGAAGACGGATGAGGAGGTTGTGGAGAAGATCAAGGTGTTTCTTGCCGAGAAGGATGGTAAGAAGGAGGGCTCCCCAGCGGACACACAGTCGCCAGCAACCATCGGCAGAGATGAGGCCGATAGCAAACCTGACGGAAAAGCGAAATCACCATCACCCACTCCTGTAGCGCCGACGACAAATCAACCAGGAAAGTCGTCGACCTCAACCCCGCAAAGCGCCGCGTCCACGCTCGCTACCGGTGCGCAAGCCCAGACTTCCCAGAAGCGTGCCGCAGAGGATGCCTTGGAGAACCCCAAAATCCCCAAAGCGCCAAAAGCCATGCAGAAGGCGCAAGAAGTTCAACAAAACATGACGCCAATGATGGGCGGCGTACCAGGTATGGCCGGCATGGCCGGGGCAAACGGCATGAACGGCATGCCGATGGGTGGGATGCCTATGATGTACCCGGGCATGCCCATGATGGGTGGCAACTACGGGCCCATGGGTGGTATGCCCAACATGGGTATGGGTATGGTGAACCCAATGATGAATCCCATGATGGCAGGCCAGATGGGCGGCGGCTACGGCGGCATGAACAACATGGCCGGTGGTCCCGGGTACAACGCTGGCAACTGGGGTGGGCCCGGCGGCATGGGCATGAACAACGGCAACATGGGTGGCGGACGGATGAATGGAATGGGCATGGGCGGTGGTTACGGCGGCGGCGCGCAACAACATCATCAACAGTACCAGCAGGGCCACGGGCAGCAGCACTTTGGGAACCAACAGGGCCACAGTCAAGGGCAGCAGCACTTTGGGCACCAACACAACAATAAAAACTTTGCTTACCAGCCCGCTGTTGAGGAGGACGACGCCTACTTCCGCAAGCCAGTAAACCCACACCGGCATCAAAATCGCCAGCGCCGCGTCCGGCCTAGCGATTATAGGGAGCTCTAAAGGAATTTCGCCAAAAAGGACTTCGCTGGCATGAACATTGTCGTCTAGACGCACTACTTCCGCGCCCATACATCGCCGTAAATAACAGCACTCGGCAACCGAAACCAGTTGCCCTCATCACATACATCTCGATTCCACGTCATGGGTTACTCTTGTCTCGGGACCGCGGGGCCACATATATACGAGATTTACCATGGCCGGTCACTGATCATTGCCTTTACGGCATTTTTGTCACTGGAGGGGATTGCCATTCCGGCATGAGAGGAGGAGGGAACTTTATTGGACCAATCTATGCATGGGTATTAATGGCGTATACCTTGGGATTTGGCGTTGAGGGAAGGGCTGGCTTTTTTTGTTTTTCCCAACCGGTCTCTGAAGGGACGAGCGTTGCATTGAGTGTTACTACGGGTTGGGATCGCTCACAGGCCGTTTGGTGGCTTTTTTTGGTTGTATAACTATGGCTATAGCATGTTTCCGCTTAGCATAGAGGGAATGGAATCCCATGCATATCTCACAATTTAACTACTTGACGAGCGTATGATGTTTATGTGTTCGATTTGAATCTAACGACTGGGGCTTCTATCCATAGCGCCTATCCGCACGTATTCGCCATTCCTTGACCACCTACTCCATCCATAGCATGCTCGAATCCCCGACACCTCATATGCGGTTGCCATCGACAAAAAAATACAGTCAACGCAAGAGGGTATCTACAACCCCAAGCCTGTCTCCATCCCGACCGTCAGTCACATCGAGGCCGAAATACCGTTACCCACTTGTCTCCGCTCCCGTTCCGCAACCCCCGACCCTACGAAGGCGGCACAAACGGGGTGACCAGCATCTCGCTGAAGCGCTCGAGGCGCTCCTTGCCCCTGACCTCCTCGACGAGCAGGGGCATCTTGACGACGTTGAACTCGTCGTAGAGCTCCTCGATCTGCTCGAGGTACTTCTTCTGCATGCGGCGGCGGGCGGTGCACTGCTCGCAGTCGGAGCCCGGCTTGGGGAACAGCAGCTGGTTGACGACGATGCTGTGCGTGTCGATGCCGTAGCTGGCCAGCTCCTGGATCATGCGCTCCGTCTCGTACAGCGACAAGAACTCGGGGATGCACACGCACACAAACGTCGTCAGCCGCTCGTCCTTGAACTGCGTGTTCACCTCCGAGATGGTCGCCCGCAGCGTTTCCAGCTTCTCCATCATCTCGTTGAGGTTCTGCCCGTTAGGGAGTGTCCCGTTGCTGCCGAGGAATCCGTTGAGGAGCGGGCCGTATTGGTTTGAGAGCTGGGAGACTTTGGCGAGCGCCTTCTCGAGGACGGACGGGAATTGGAGGAAGCGGAGGGTGTGACCGGTCGGTGCGGTGTCGAAGATGATCGTCTCGTACGAGAGCGACTTGACTTGCTTGAGGACCTCAGCGAAGGACATGGCTTCGTCGATACCGGGGATCTGTAGGCCGTCATCGGTCAGTCGAATGTTTTACGCTTAGAAATCCGGCAGAGGAGGCTGCCTCTTACCGCAAAGGCCAAGTCCTGCATCATCCCTCCCATGCCGCCCATGTCGGCGCCGGCGTCGCCTTCGCCCTGCCCCGCCAATAGATCCTGGATGCTGCCGTTGGGGTCGATCTCCATGGCGCTCAGGTTCTCGAAGCCGTCAATGAGACGGGCCTCCTTGCCGAACTTTTGGCTGAAAGCATCGCTGAGGTTGTGGGCCGGGTCGGTTGAGATGAGCAGCACGGAGCGGCGCACTTTGGCGAGCTGGATGGCCAGCGAGCAGGATGTGGTCGTCTTGCCCACGCCGCCCTTCCCGCCAACGAAGATCCAACGCAGCGACCGCTGGTCAAGGATCGACTGCAGCGTCGGCTCCATGGCGTCGCCGTCGTCGACGTTGATGAGCGTGGCCGACATGTTGGGCAAGGGTGTTCGATAAAGGGTTGGGTTGTGGACTTTTGGTTTTGGTATGGTTGTTGCGGGGAGGGCTACGAGGTAGTGCAAATAGGTTCGGTCCGGGGTTCTTGATCGTTTGTGTTGTAGGAAACGGGAAGGAGTTCGTAGCCTTGAGCCGCCAATCACGTCGATAACGGTCAGTGGTGTTTTGGGCTCCTTTGGAACCTATTCGAAATGCAAAGTCACTTCCGGGACGCGGCCGGTTCGTGGGGTCGAGCCCGGCTCCGGGCAGCGTCACAAGGGTTGGTGGGGTAAAGCGACTGCAGGGGGGTTACAGAGGGACAGAGGGGTTGATTTGGGCTGGCATGTGGCTGCTCAGCTGAACCACCCGCTAACTCTAGACCAAGGGTTCTGGTGGCAACATCCAAGGGAGTTTTGTCTCCAACTGGGAAGAGCTGAGAGATTCGTGTCCGAGACCTTGGAAGTGAACAGAGCGCCGCACTCAGGCATTCCAATAAATCGCCTGGATCCTCGTAATACAGTCTGCAATTTTTGACCGCCTCTTCTATTAGCCAACCCCATCAGAAACATCAGAAACATCAGGAACGATTCAAGCAATAGGCGACCGAAACGGCCATTCATCGACTCTCCGTTGTCCCCTTGGGGACGTGGGGCTGAGCGGGAGTGGTCAACAACAGCCTCCAAGCAATTAGTGTCATTGTCAGCTCCGCGGATCGTGTGGTAACGATCTCAAGTTGTACCCTAGGCAGCAGAATAAACACTCCGATCTTGCCGCTGCCAAAGCGAAGTATATGCGTTCCCCTGAAAATGTGTATATAAAGCCCAGTGTCCGAGTATTTACCAGACCTCCGGAGTGCATAGGTTGTCCTTGTTTTGCTCACGCTATGCTGTGCTCAGTTGGAGTTGGTTCCACTCCTTCATTGTTACCCCTCACCAAGCAGCACAGCCTTACCTTGACGACCCCACCACCGCAACAACAACACAACGATCGCCAACTTACACAGTAAACAACTGAAACCCGCCGTGTAAGTGAGGCAACCAGTTTTCGTACCGTATCCCGTGTGTTCTTTTTTCGATATATAAACTCCACACTCCCCACCAGTTCTCCCCAGTTCCCCGCTTACACCCCGCAACACCAGGCCGATCATCACGAACCATCATCGCCGGGTAGCAGCAGCACCACCCTAAACTCGCGAGCCGAGAGAGCGACAACCAAACAGAAAACAACCCCAATCAAACCACACTCCCATCACCACCGCCAAAATGGCCACCGACACCACCGAAACCAAAGACCGCATAACCTGCCACGTCCTCGACACCACCACCGGCCAGCCCGCCCGCAACATGCGCGTCAAGCTCGAACTCACCTCCACCCCCAACCCCCCCCACGCCACCGCCACAACCACCCCCACCACAACCACAACCACCACACCCCCCCCTCCACCGCGTCTTCGAATCCCTTACCGACGACGACGGCCGCATCAAATCCTGGCTGCCCTACTCCTCAGCCACCTCCTCGGGCGAGGTACCGGTATGCACGCTGGGGGACGTGCTGGGCGGGATCTCGGGGCCCAGCCAATGGACGCTGCGGTTTGACAGCGCGGGGTATTTTGGCGGGGCGGAGCAGACGTTTTATCCCGAGGTCGGGGTGACGTTTACGGTGCTGGAGGGGGAAAGATATCATGTGCCGTTGTTGTTGGCGCCGTTTGGGTATAGCACTTATCGGGGGAGTTAGGTGAGAGGTAGTGGGTGGGGGGAGGTGGGGGATGGGAGGTTATGTTCTTTGTGGGTTTTCGCGGGGATGGGGAGGGGAGTGATGGTTGACATTTTAGCTCAGGGGTTGTGGGTTGGAGCGGGCATCCCGAATTTGTAGTTCAGTTAGTTCTGCGCTTTTGGTAGTTGAAGAAATTAGCCGTTGTGTTGTGTTGTTTGGCTTGACTACCCCGGAGTGTAACAGCGGCTAGCAATGGCAGAGTTGGTGTTGCGAGTTGAGAAGAGGAAGAGGAAGGGTGGAGTTTAACCCGAGATAATACAGCCACGAAAGCATGAGCGATGCAACAGAGTTAGAAGGTAACTACTCTCAAACACCCCCCACCCGTTAGAACTCGGCCCAACTGTTTGAATTCTCATCTTTTTAATTTCTTGTTTATTTCTTATTTCTTATGCTTCCTATTTTGATTTCCTGCCGTTGTTGCAGACCTGACATGCCCTCCTGATGACCTTTAAAAAACAGGATCCAGTCTGTTGATCAAGTGTTTTCGCCCCTATCCCGCAGGGGTGAGTGATGCCGCGAGGCTAATAAACCAATAACAAATGAGCGTGGTCTTCCTCTTCTACCCATTAACTCCGATAGTACCAAACAATTACCCAACGCAATCTAGCACCAGTCGTCAAAGTCGTAACCGCCTGCTGTCCGCTATGCAATAAAAGCCAATACCCTTTGAGCGCACCTTTGTGGAAACGCACGAGCCTCTCTCGACTCGAAAAGCCCACATGCTAGGCCCTCGGCGTGTGTCTTTCATCTGCAACTGTGGCGCTCCTACCGGTGCATCAGCCTATTTATGAAACTGCTTCTGCGCCTGCCGTGACGCGGATCCCGCGCCCCGTCTCGTGGGTCGGCCTTGGGACGGTCGAACTCCGTCCCCCGGTGTACCGGTGAGTCTGGGTCCCGGCTGCTCAAGCCGTCACTCGACTCGACACCGTCGCCGTCCTTGGATGGGAGAAAGGCATCAAGCCCGGGGATCTCGGCAGCCCGGATCGAGTTGATGGCAAGCCGGCCAAAGGCGGAGAGGGTTCCTTCTTCGGGAGAATCAGACCTTCGGCTGTCGAAGGTGGATGCCCGGCTGGCCTCCTGCTGGGCCATGAACGACATCCGGTATCTGAGAAGGGCCCGCGCCGGGTTCACATCGTCCTCGGTGATGCAGGCGTCGGGGTTAAGGTTCGCTTCGGGGTGCGGCAGTGATGTGTTTCGGCCTGCGAAGTGGTCAGTTGCTACTCAGCCACCGGCCCAGTCTGTCAACTTACTGCCACAGAATGACTCCGGGAAACCCGTGTCTCTTCCCCGGAGTGATATCTGCGTCGGGCTTTGAGGGATAGGCATCATGTATTCGGGGTTGCTGAGCCGTGAGGAGGGCGACCTCCTGAATCTCGGTCTGCGCATGTCGGGAGAAGTTTAGTGGAAGGTTTTCTCTTTTAAGTCCCTCGACTGTCTGTTTATGCAAAGAACCACGGTGGCTCAGCCAACAACGGCTGTGGAGCTGGCTCGGCGTTGAGCTCGGAAGGCCGGCACGGTGCTCTCTGATGGCCAAGAAAGGGTGCTGGGTAACAACGATCAACGGGAAATAAAATGAGTGCGAAAGTGGTCAAACACAGAAGAGAAGAAAAAAAGTAAGTAGGGTGTACGGGATACTCCAGGCAATCCCTGAGGGTAGAAAGGAAAGGTATTACACTAGGGTTGTCCTTTTGGGCAATGAGTGCGGGAACTGCGGACAGGCCTCGGGGGGGTCTTATGAAGTGCCTGGACAAAGACCCATGAAAGTGAACAATGGGGCATGCTGCTCGTCATATATGGCCGCCGCTGGGCGGCCATGGGTCATACCCGGAGTCTCAGAGGCATGATTTTGGCGAGACAGAGCCTCCGGGGCCTCAGTCTAGACCGCCTTCGACCCTTTCACGGCGAGGTGTGCTCGCGTTGCTTCGGTCTCGAGTTGTTCAAGCGAAAGTGAACCGGTGGATGAGAGACCGTTTCCGCTCACCTTTGGTTGAGCTTAAAATGTGGGGTCAGCCCCACGCGGTGACAATTTCAGGCGCGCGGCAGGCCGAGTAGCGCTGGCCAATCGAGCATCAAGCGCTTGTCGTTTCGATGCTGGCCAAACAAAAGCCTGCTTTGACTTGAGGGACAGAAATAGCCGTGGTACGCGTCCCGGTAGAATGACCTTTGTACGAGCTGTAGGGGTTGTAAAAACCGTAGGAGCCGTCGGGAATGTATGGAGACAATTGGAAAGGAGGGAGCTCAGTTCCGACAGGTACTTAAATCTCGAGTGGGCAGTCGAGGCTTTTAGGAAGTGACGGATGCTTCCTCCGGCTTGGAACTAGGTGACATAGCCCTGGAAGCTGCTGGCAAGAACAGCCACGGATGCGGGCTCGGATTCGCCGGTGATGGCGCGGGCAGCGATGCCCTTCTGCAAGACGGGTCAGCCGGCATGCCATGCAGGCCCGCCCAGCTCTGCCAATGTTCGGTAGAATGGCTCGCCATGACTCTTTTGGGGATCCATTGGTGCTAGTGGGCTGCTGAGAGGGGGTTGCAGGCTGCATCACGCACCGCCAATGGCTCCCTACGCATGCAGGTGTTTTTGGGGGGCTCTGGCGGGTTTTGGCGGGTTTAGCCCGTAGATCAGTAAACCCACCTGGGCTCGAATTCGGGTTGACAGAGGCATGGATTTTATTTTTCCTCCTTTTTGATGGAGGGAACTGGTTATTCGTAGTTTGAGGCTGGTGTCATCGCCCAGGTCTCCGACGGACCGCGTGGGAGGCCGGCCACCGGAGCGACCAGGCCACGCCACCGGCCGGCCGTTCAACTTAGCCTGCATGCCCTCATCAGAGCGAGATGGGATGGGCGTCTGCGGGTCGGATGGTGAAAAGCAGCCAGGTGTGCCGACGGTAAGGATGCCACATAAGTCAACCGAGCAGCGGAGACATTGACCAAGCTCTTGCTGGGTTTTCCCACAGTAGCGGCTTCACCGCTGCTCGGTAGGGCAATGATGCCGCAAAAAAATGCCTTTCACTCCGTTAAGTGGTTTGGGAGCCCAATTGTGACTGCTGCATGTCTTAGAGCGACGACCGTGGCCATTCGATTATGCAGTACCTAGGGCGGGGCTCTGCTGCATCACCGAGGTCTCTGCGCATCGAGATCGGAGCTGTGCGGGGAACCGGACTCGCTCGATGCCTTGCGAATAGCGATGCTCTGGGTTACTGTAGGATGGATTTTCTATGATTGTGGGAGAGCCGGCTTTTTGGCTCACGGGAAACTCGGGATCCTAGCGCAAATGGAATCAACAGCGCCCAAGTCTGGTTGCCACAGCCGTTGTCCCGTATCATTCTCCTCTGCTCAAGAAAGTAGTAGCAGAATAGTTAGAGCACAGGATTCGGCGAATAAGTTGCACATTTGTTATTAACCGGGAACTGAGGTTGATAAGAAAAAAAGAAGAAAAAAACCGAACCAGGGGTTTATGATACGTTTTGATTGAGTCTTGGGATGTCAGGCTCGAGCCAACTGTTAGATTTGTGGAAACTGAAAGCAGCTCTCGCCAAGACCCCGGACCACGAGACCGAAGATTTCCCACCAGCTTCCGCCGCCCCATTTGAATCCGCCCCATTTCAGCCCCTGAGCCAGCGCACGAGCCACGGCACCCTTCCGAGGCCTGGATTGCTGTTCAGGCGATGTGGCACATTGGCAATGCCAAGGGCTTAGGGAATTGACAGCTCTCCAATTTACGCGACGCAACCCAAAGCCTCCAACTTTTGTACTCACCATCTCACAAGACCACCGAACGTTCTCTCCCCCACGGATTCTTCTTCTTTCCGCTCTTTAATTCCATTCTACCCACCCAGTTCCATCTTCCCAACCAACACAATGGCCGACCAAGTCCAAGAGATGCTCGATGTGCCGCGCGAGTTCCTGAAGGACGGCATCCAGTTCATCAACCGCGCGCAGAAGCGTATGTCTTCTTTCTCGCAAGCCCTCACAGGCATCACCCAGAAGACCCAAATCACTAACAGCACTTCCAGCCGACCGCCGTGAATTCATCAAGATCTCCCAGGCCGTGGGCGTCGGTTTCCTCGGTACGCCTCCCAGCAGCAGCACCCCTTTCCCCCCTGCCACACACACGGCAGTACAACAACTCCAGCTCAGCTTGCTAACCAATTTGCCACGCAACAGTCATGGGCGCCGTTGGGTACTTCGTCAAGCTCAGTATGCAACCCCCCTCTTTCTCCCCTTCTCAACCGAACAGCAACTAATCTCCCTCTGCCCCCTTACAGTCCACGTGCCCCTAAACAACATCCTCGTCGGCGGCGCATAAATTAAAAAAAAAATCAACTCGCCTCCCAAACCAGCCACGCCACACGACACGCCCACATAACGGGCCATCCGCCTGGGGAAAGGCACGACAGGATAACGGGAACTTCAACGAGCGGGCGGGCGGGCGAGCAAGGCAGCAGTGGTCAAATCCCAACTAGAGCCCCCGATTTATGCCACCACACGAACCAATTATCACGAGGTCAAGGCGTGGACGTGGGGGGATATATTGGTTTTCTTTTTTTCCGTATCATGAAGGGGACTGCGGGTTAGGGGAAAGTGAGATTCCAGGGAACGGGGTGGCGTTCGGCCGCTGAGATGAGGGGAACGAAGATGTGGAGTATGGCGGCGCAAGATATCCCATGTGCTGGTTGAGAAGCCGGCTCATATCATAATTCCTATTGCCGGCGGAGGCAATTGTAAAAAATTGATTTCTTGTTTTGGCGGTCTGCCTTGCTTGGAACTTCTGGATCGGCTGCTGCGTGATTTGAGCGGCCACGTCTATACATGGCCATGACCATCATATTTCCACCCCCTGGAGGGCACCTCACTGACTGTACCAATACAACTGAGAATTATGGTTCATTATTGACGTAGATCGTCAATTCTTTTTTTTTCTTTTTTGGCAGGGTTGTCTATGTTTGAATATACTGCTGAAGGGGGGCTCAACACAGTCCCTGGTTGCGGCACCGTTGTACGCGCAACATAGCGACAGCCGACATGTTCCCCTGCCCCACCCACCGCCGTCATGTCCAGATCCGAATCATTATCTTACCGCCTCGTCGCAAGGTATTGAGCGGCGCTGTCCCAAGCAGAGCGGTCGATCGCCGGAATATCATTGGGCTTTAGCTCCTTGACGGCGGCATGCAGCGCATCGAAGAAGTTACAAGCCACGTTGAAGTCCTCGGTGAACGATACAGCGTATGGTACATAGACACCTGGGAACTCCTCCAGCTTCTGGCTCTTGTGGGGGTCATTCGGCACGAGATCGTCAAGATACGTCTTGACCGCAATACCGAGGGCGACGTCCGGATCATAGAGGAAGGGAAGTCTGTAGACAGGTCAGCGTGGTGCTCCAGGATTTCACCGCCAGAAACAAAACATACTGATGGCTCAACTCCCAACTGTTGTCCCGGTTCCGCTTGGCCTGAGCATACATAAACATAGAGGCGAGAATGGCTTCGATGAGGTCACGATCGGCGGACCGCACCTCGGACACGAGCGAGCGGAATGCGAGGAGGTTCTTGCTAAGGGGACCCGTGTATCCGTTGGCCTGATGTCTGAGCTTGAGCAGACTCGCGCATCTGCTGATCAGGAGTAGGCTCAACTGGTCGGCTTCGGAGCCGTTGAGGGCAAGACCGCGCAGCTCGCCATGTGGGTTTCTGGTGTTAAGGAGCTCGAAGCGAATCAGCTCGATCGCGACAAGGATGGACTCGTACAGGTGCGGGAAATCGGGGTACTTCTTGGCCGTCGGCTCAATGGCGGCTAGCGCAGTGGCCAGCGCAGAGCCCCAACTGGTGAGTTCGTGCTGGTCATCGACGTAGCCCCGAATATGCAGGAATCTCCAAATGCAGATCGACTTGATCAGGTCGGCCGATTCGACGCCCTTCAACTTGTCCTCGGGGTTTGCGCGGGTCAGCGCGGCAAACTTCGGCTTCTTCAATGCTAGGACTTCAGATATGATGGAGCCATGGGCGAAGTTGGGAATATTCTCCTTGATGGTTGCCTCGTGTACTTTCCAACTGGCAACTTGTCGTGTGAAGTTGGCTTTGGCTTCCTGGCGGTCCCAGACCGTGGAAGAATAGTCGGCATCGTACCAGACCTTCATGCTGATATTCTTAAATCCGATGCCGCGGTTCAGACGAGGAATAACCAGACTCAAGGCAGCCTCTTTGATGCGGGCCGATTGTGTTGTCACCAGTTTCTTATACTCGTCTGAATCGACTCCATCAAGCGTCGGCAGGACGTGCAACTGGCCATGGGTGATCCAGGTAAGGATGCGTGGTCCGATCAGGCCTGTGCTGAGGTAGTGGAACAGCTCTGAGGGGAGCTGCAGGCCGAGATATTCATGATTGTCGTTCGTTAGGTGTTCGTAATCGTGTACCTTGACCTCGCCATTCTCGGCGATATACACGAAGTGATCGACGGCCATTCGGGCCTTGCGGTACTTGTCAAGCCAATTGGACTCTTTGCCCTTCAGGATGTCCTGAAAGCTGCTGCAAACAAGTGTTACCGACTTCTCGGCGGTGCGTAGCATATTAACCGCGTCAGCCACCGTGTGGGGTTGGGTTTTGATGATTGTTGGGTCGGTCAGAGGCAGAAACGGCGGTAGGAAGGACGTCCCAGTCATCAAGAAGGCGTCAATGAACAGAGACTCGCTGACGTTCAGCGTCTTTAGGATGTGCTTCTTCGAAACTGCATAGACCAAGTTGTTTTCCCAGTCGATGGTGCGGATGACGCAGTCTCGAATTGGGTACAGCAGCAGCTCCGAAGAACCCATGACGCCAGCACACTGGTCCGAGTCGCACATCTCGAAGTATGCCATCTGCCCTATGTCAGAGGGATATCGAATTGGCCGAAGAGGAGGGCCTCACCTGGGCAGCGGCGTTGAAGGGAGGGACCAAGAAGTGCAGCCCGCGTTGCTTCAGGATGGTCTGGAGGAGAGGGAATAGGGCCCTGGTCGGAAATGAGCCTCCTGAAAGTTAGCCCCTGGGCGCTATTGGCAAGCGTAAATAAATGGCATACGTACTTGTGCTTTGACCAAATGCCGTCACGGCCTCGGCGGCGCGACCGGTGAAATACAAGTCCCATGAAATGTCAGCCTTGACGCGGTTGGCTAGGCCACGTTTAACTGCTGCCTCGTCCTGGCCGGCCATGGATTGGCCATCGAATATGAAGAACGGGGTGATGTTATGAGCCTTCCACTGGTCCAATTCATTCTCAAGGCGTCCCTGGATCCCAGTGAGGCCACCGAGAGCCGGGAGGAGGGGCTCGTTGCCCGGAAAGACATCGAGATGCAGCTGAAGGTAGTATGCGGCGTCAACGGCGATCGCGCAGTCCTCGATTTCGCTCAGGGAATGGGCCCTAGGGTCGGAGAGTTAGCGATCTAATGTGGGGTTGAACGGAGGGGAGGATCTGGGGTGAGCAGGATGACGTACACGGCCTGGTTGTAAATGAAGGGGTCCCCGATAAGGTCTTCCATTGTCTCGTTAGCATCGATCTAGGGTGTGGGAGCAGAGCGAGAAATATGTGTGCGTCTTCTAAGACCAGCGAGCCCAGCGAGAACCGAAGCCCATCAAAGTTCCTCCCGGCTGAGATGCCCACCAAGAAGCCACCAGTTCCTGCGCACGGCGGCCAGTCGCTAGGTCTGGAGGAGGGTGTCCTTGCTACTTCTGTGCGCCAGCTCGGGGTAGATATGATGCGAAACGGTCGCGGTAAAACGGTGTGGGGAGGGGTGTGGGAATGGGGATTCGTCAAGGAGGAATAAATGTCTTGCCGGCTCGCAGGTTCGAATCGGTGTTGCTGGTTTGTTTAAACTAACCAGCGAGGCGACCCCGTGGAACAAAATGCGCTGGCAACCACCTGTCGTCACAAGGAGCTCGACGAGCACGAGGCACGAAAAGCGACTGACGGGGGAAGCTCCGAAAAGTGGCAGCCGCGCGGAGCAGGGCGGGGCAACGACAAAGGGAAGGCTGGAACCTCCAAAGCGACCTAAGGAAAGAACAGACGACAAAACTTACTCGGCATTGTGAAGGGCTACCGATGAGGGGGGTCCCACAACAATGGCAACAAAGCTCTAAGGGTCCCGTCGCTCTAGGTCGGTCTCTCCCAACGCGGCTGACCTAGGTAGGAAGCTGGGGTCTCCTTTCCGCGGCACCTTGTGAGGGCCAGAAGTAGCGTCGGAGGTGGTGGTGGTGGGTGGAGCACGGAACCGACCGACCTGCGCTGGAACACTCGCACGCGACAAAGTAATTACCAAGAGGTGCAAAAAGGAGCCAAAGAAGCGAACAACAACAGAGGGGGTAGAATGAGTGACTTGGAGTTGGTCAACCACAAACGCTGGCCATCATCGGGCCACAGGGTCAAAGGGGCGAGACTCTCTTGGGAAGAGTGATAGATGAGCTTCCAGTTGGAAATGAGGCGGCTCAGCAAAGGAACCACCCGACTCTCGGGTGGTGGAAACTTTGGTGCAGATGGCCTGAGCGCGTAATACAGTATCAATCTTGTTACACTGTACAGTCGCACTGTGTCATTAAGTTGTGGCGGTGGTGTGCTCTGGACTGTGGCGCCCACTTACACCAGATTGTGGCTGGTAACCCCCCAGCCCCCTAGGAGAGGAAAAGACGATGAGATTCCCAAAACTTCTTGATCGGGTAGGAATACAAGTCCCTAATACGGTGGAACCGCCAGAGCCAGCATGAATAACTAGCGGTGTGGAATGCCCCTATCATAATTAAACTTTCCACTTTGGTATTTCCAAGAGTAAGCGGAAGTGTGAGAACTACGGCAAGGCTTTCTTTGCTTTGTGTGTTATGTTAGGTACTTTCGTGTGTAACTGGCCTCGGTGTCGAGAAGAGGTAATGAATGCTTGGAAGGAACATACACGAAAATATCAATATCAATTGTCTCGGTGTTTCGTCTGCCCTACCCCTGACTGACTCAGCTGTCGCCGCTCGCAACGCCACCTGCAGACAACAATGGAGTGATGATTAAGCAACCGGCCTGTGAAAGCTCAAGATAACCATTGACTCACGCTGGCTCGGTATGGTGATGGCCTCTGAGACTTCTAGTAAGCTTCGGCGACGACAAGAACGGAAGAAACGCCGACCCCTTCTCGTGCCTCCCTTAAGCGAAGAAGCCCCTGGATATCGACGGGTTCGGGGGTGAACGGCCAACCATCGTTGACACCGCGCAATAAGCAGACCCTTCCACATCTTGAACCTGTAGGACCTCTGCGGAGAACCAAATCGGTTCTTTTTTGTCCAAAATTCCGCGATGGCACTGGTAGGATCGTATCCGGCACTCACCTTGTCGATTGCTATCGCAAAAGATATTACAGCGCCCCTCAAGTTGAGCCAATGGCCCTAGAAGGCGGCCCTCGGCTCTTCATCACTCGAGATTCCTATGCCCGTACATACCAGCCCAATCATAGGTTTGCAAGTAGCCCCGGACCCTAGATGTAATTCAACGGCGGGCTGTAATAACCCCAATCAGGCGAGCATAGGGCTGCGGAGCCGAAAGCCCCCATTCCGGCTCCGGTTGCGGGGCGGCCGCTGGATTGGGGTCCAGGCGAACGAGCCGTGCATTAGCGTTGAGCTCTGAAACCATGGATTGGGTCGGCTCGGGACCGAGTAACTAAAGTGGCTTTTTCATCTCCAGATATGTTGAGGTCGTATGTCGATGACTTTTGTTGTGCATATGGTTGGGGAAATACCCTTGTGTCGACGGTAGTTACCCCATCCGGGCATATCGTGAAACCTCCGCCGGAGAGACCCAAGCAGATGGGGTTTGGGGGCGGGGATTCTCGGGCTCTTGGCAGGGCTCACTGGGCTGGGGAATCCTTCGAGTGCCCGGGAGTCAGAAAAGGCAACCCGGCCCGTAACGCATGAGAGGCCTCACGACCATCGCGGCTCGTTCACTGGCCTGTTGTTTTGAAGAAGAGATGAGCTTCAGCTTCGCATGGGTGATGGGGTATACCATAATGGGCGTGTGACTGAGCATGTAATGGAAGTACTTCGTAAGAGGAAGGATTCCTTGGTGTTGAAAATAGCAGTGAGAGATGAGTTTGGCTCGGTTGCCTAGCTGGTGGGTAGAAACACCCAAAAAAAATCGAGAGAAAGCTCTTTCAAACTGAACGAACCGCCCAATCGCGGGTTTAGAGAACGCTTTCGGATTTCACCGTCGACGATGAGGGTGATTGAGTTGTCTCGGCCCCCAAGAGCCCGCCAGCTGAGAACGGCGCCGCAATTCCGAAACGCACCTCTACTTACTGTGTAGACCGACGCTTCTTCGAACATGAATAGAACCGCTACACGTAGCCCTAGACCGAGAAAAAAAAGAAATTGATGAGTAACACAAGATAGTCTCTAGGGAACGAATCCACTCGGTTAGCTAAGCTGAAAGAGAGCTGAGCGATCGCCCCGCAGCAGTGCTGATGATCACGACTCTTCCAAAGTGGCAGCCTGAGGAAAGCCTAACTCGATGCAGCCTCGTTTTCGCAATGCCGGAACCCACCTCCACGCCAAGCATCAAACGTCCCCGCGGCAAACGGCTCTAGCGATCCGCACAGATGCGTGGCTCGTGGCACAAGCCAGGGGCCGGCACGGTGTGGTTCAGCAAGCCCAGCCCGCCGGTTTCGAGATGCTGGACCGCACGTGGCGGCATGCAATCGGCAATGGTACCCCCCCCCTTTTCCATGGAAACACAGTCGTGCAGCCCGTTCCATGTCGTACGCAAAGGCACATAGAGCCGCACAACGTGCTGGCCAGCTGGGTCGCTCTACGCATACGAGAGTTCGGGCTCTGAAAATAAATCCCAAAACAAGACATAAGGTAGGTTCCAAGCCGCGCCGTCACATCGCGGCATGTACCCGATGGCTAGGATACGTGCGGCGGGTACTAAGGTTAGACCCGCGCTCACGCGGAGGGAACATGCCCCTGGCCGACCCCTTTGGTCGGTAACGCTGTGCCGGGACGGGCGGCCGGCCGGCGTCAGCTCGTGGGCCTGGCCGAGCGGCTACCGTGCCTCTTTTGTTCAACTCCCCGAAGTGATGACCGACGAGAGCATGTGGAAGGCGTAGCTAGTAAACCCGTGGTTGTGGCATCTTAGTAACGGATTGGCAAGCAACAACGACTCAACTGCGGCGTATCTCGAGAGATCTCACACCGCTCATGACTCCCGTATCAGAAGACCGTGAGATGTGAAGTTCGGAAATAGCGAGGCCGTCGTACAGCCGTCGCGGACCAGGGCGAGCGGGTGCTCACTCCGCTTGGATAGGACTCGTCCGATGTTCTCCGTTGCCTCGGCTCGTGGCATACGGTGCCGCAATGCAACGCCATTCGGATGCATCCCATCCCCAAGTACACTACACCATACCCTGAACACCCATTGACCACTGAGTGATTCAACGCGGGACGGCCAGGAACCGAGTGATCGGGCCATACATGCCAGATAGTATGTGGCTTGGCATGCTGTGCTGGGAACTCAACGGTCCGGAGGGGATGTCACGCTGGATGCCATAGCCCCCTGAATACCTTCCTCTTCCGGGTCCCGAGCCCGCTTAATCTGCTGCGAGCGTGAGATGTGACGTATTTTGTCGCACACGAAGGCCTTCTCACCAACCGGTGAAGCGGCCTCAATTGACTCAGTCCGTTCGGGGAGGTCTGGTTGGTCGCAACACGTGCTGCGAACAAGCCGCAGGACCCTGCGTGCGTGGGGGCTTGCGGATCCTTCGGCACCGCGTTTTTACCACGGGGCCGGACCGGGCTTCCCGTGTTGGCTGGATGCAACTCAAAGATTTCGTGATCAGTGAGCGTCACGGCTCAATCCGGCTGATGACAATTTACGCCGGATTGAGATGCGCTGGCCGATACGCTGAGGATTAGGCGAAGAAACGAACCGAAGCGAGAGCAGAAAAAAAAAAAAAACTTCTGTTCCACGAAAAGTCGAAAGCGTGATGCCTAGACTCGACTTCGTCAGCAAGCGGAAGAAAAGGCCCGGGATTGGTGGGAGACAATAACCGCTTGTCGTCTCAACATGCTGCATGCAAGCGGCTCCGCCCAAGCGACTGACTGTACGACCCTAGTCGGTGCTTACACAGGCGGCCAGGCATCCAACTTTCGTCCCAGTCGCGCAACTCAGCCCTACGAATGTGGCTCGGGCACCCGAAGAAAGTTCACTTCAGCCCCCAATCCGTTTTTGGCCTGTCTCAACTGCCTGTTTCATACAAACGCGCACATCCAGGGCCATGCATGACCAAACGTCCGGATCCCGCGGTTCGGCGGCACTGCATCTCCCACACACCCTCCGGGACGTCGAATTCTGGACGCAATGTCGAAATCAAAGGGCGTTTCCGGCCCCACACCACCGGTCCCAACGAGACTCGGACCAAGACTGGCTGTCCGAGTCACACCTTGGGCGTGTGTCTTTGTAACACCCTGTCTCCGAGGCACCCCTGCATCTACAGGTATGTACTAGCAGCATCTCGAAATAGTGTACTTCTGGCTTGTGGATACGCCGAGCGCGCGATCAGCCTTATGTCATCCATATTTTGGGGGCTCGAGGGCATCGCCGCCTACGCCGACAGGGTACCTTGCAAGCGGATTGGTGATGGGACGGGATCCAGGTAGTCGGGAGCATGGTCAGTCCTCGACGGTCTATATAAGACTCTTTGGACACCCGTGTTAGGATCCTGCTTTCATCATCAGCATCAAACACCTCAACAAGACAGACAAACAACTTCAAAGCAATACTCACTACCAACAACTCCCACCAACAACTCCCATCAAACAGCTTCCAACAACTCACCACCTTTCACCACCAGGTCTCTCACCATCCAACTCAAACAACCCAACATTTCCCACAACCCTCAACTTTTAAACTCAACCACCAACTTCGCAATGGCTGCCACCACTTTCTTCACCACCGACTCCCTCGTCAACTTCGGCCGTTCCGGGTACAACAAGTGAGTAAACCACTCCCACAGATCTCCCCGCAACAGAATACTGACACCGAAACCCAGGGGCAACTCCGACGACGATGAGGAGAACAAGCTCGTCAACTACGGCCGCTCCGGCTACAACAAGTGAGTATCTCCACCTCCCGCCTTGCAGGAAAACGCAGCAGCTAACGCTCGACCAGGGACGACAAGGACGACGAGGAGAACAAGCACCACTAAGCTCGCTTAGTCTTTGATTTTCTTCTCTTCCATTGCATGCTAGACCCCGTCCCGATTCCGAGCTACTGGTAGCTCGAACGGGGCGGGAAGCGCCACCGCTTCTTTCGCATTTCCTTTCCGGCGCACTGGACCTTCATCGGGACGCATTTCGGAGCATAGAATAGAATAGACTGTACGACCATGGGCTTAGAACGGCGGGGGGGGAGGGCAGGGCGCGGGCCCTTGGGGGGATGGCGAGTTGGTGGTCTGCATTTCAGGGCGCAGGCTAGCTTTCTGGGACGGGGATGTTGTATCATGACTTGATGAGAATACGCGGTGGATAGACGTCTGGAACGGTTGGCGGGTTTGGATCCCTTGTACAACAACTATATGTTACACAATCATTTTCCCACACAAAACCTGGTCTTTCGTTAGCTGATATGCCACTGGCTTGCATCAAAGTTCCTTACTTTTCGAAGATGACGCCGAGTACCTCCTCCACATCACCGGACTCACCGCGCCCGGTGATAGAAGCAAGTCGAAGACCGGCGAGCCGCAAGTGCTCCGCCGCGAGGACGATGTCCGGTTCATCATAAGAGTCAGACTTCTTGGCCTCGGCCATGAAATCGCCAAGGTGGCGTTCACACTCTGAAAGCAGTTGGCTCTGCCGTTCGGTGACTCCAAGTAGATGCTGCATGTCATCGGGTAGCGAGGTAAGGCTCGCGAATGACTGTGCTAATATTTCAGTGAGTTCATGTATGCCGCCCGCATCAGTCAGCCCTGCAGCAGCCTTGCAGGAAATGGTCAGCGGCTCTTGACCACTAAGGCCGTCGATATCCGCCAATACCGAAGATTTGAAATCCTGGATCAGTAATTCGAGTGACTCTGGGCTCACGATATCGGTTTTGTTTACCGCAACGAGACACTGCTGCGCGCCTGCTGCCAATTGGAGCGTCTCGAGGTCGTAGCTTATTCGATGGTTTCCAGATTCTGTTGCCTCTACAGAAGCCAGCACGATGATGACATCCGAATCCAGTGCCTTCTGTCGTGCTCTCCGGATGCCTTCCTGCTCGATAGCGCCGATGGTGGAAGCTGCAGTTCCATCGTGATGCCCCAAGGATTCCGACGTCTTCGTTCGAATCCCAGCCGTATCTGCGAAAGAGCAGAGGTACCCCCGAATATCAAGGCTTGCCTCGACAATGTCTCTGGTTGTACCAGCCTCAGCCGATACAATTGAGGCTTCACGACCGACTATCTGATTCATCAACGAGCTTTTTCCAGCGTTTGGAGGCCCCAAAAGCGCAATACGAATCCCGTTTCGAAGAAGCTCGCTACGTTGACTTCCAAGTTTGTGAAGCCCGATGGAGTGAAGAATGTCCTCGGTCAACCTGGTCACGTTGGTAAGAAGTTCGGCAGGCGACTCATCGAAATGCTGATCTTCCGAGAAGTCAATTAGCGCCTCGATCTCCCCGCGGCCGAGCAAGAGCTGATCGCGCCAGCTGTCATACGTCTTTCCAAGGGTACCCGAGTTGCCCCGGACGGCCGCCCGTCGTTGATGCTCGGTTTCGGCGGCAAGAGTGTCACCAAGGGACTCGATCTGAGCGAGATCTAGGCGACCGTTAAGGAAAGACCGTCTCGTGAACTCGCCTGGACCAGCATAGCGTATCTCTGTTGATGACGGACATCTCCGGACAGCAGAGAGGACAGCTTTCACGGTCGCTGGCCCTCCATGAACGTGAAGTTCGAGCACATCTTCGCCGGTCACCGTCTTGGGACCAGGGAAGTACAGGACAAGGGCATCGGAGTCGACGATATTGGCTCCAGATAAGTCGGCTAACCCAGGTTCGAAGAGCGTTCTCACTCCGGCAAACCTGGGCTTAGGTGGGGCCTTGTTTGGACACAATCCATGGTAGACCTACAACGATATCAGCAAGGAAGAGCCAGTGCAAATTAGGAACAACAACATACGTCGAGACAACCAGGCCCAGAGATACGAATTACAGCTATACCCGCCCTTCCTGAACCTGATGAAAGGGCATAAATGGTGTCATGGTTGGTGAATGAGGTAGCATCGTCAATCCTAGGGAGACGACTAGTCAAATCGTGGATGCGCCGGCCAGAATAGGACCATGCTTGGGTCTGAAAAAGGGCCGGTGCACTCCTAAATTCCAGTGGGCGCTGGGGTAGGACTCTCTTCAACGCATATCGTAACATTGACTTTTGGACACAACCAAGGAGGTGTGTAGCAGGTGTTTGGGGAGTTGATGGCAGGTGCAGTTTGCGACTGATACAAGACAACCCTGAAGGGTGAAACAGTGGAGAGAGCTCAGGCGGCTCTGCACAATGGATGTAAATAATTGGCCAGTTCATCGGAAATGACCCATAAATGATAAGATAAGAAAATACCAGCACAGGCCGGATCCTGGACCAAAACTTCGAGTCCCCGGATTTTTTTTCAGCATCGCGTTCGCAGCCCCTCCAAAAGCACGATCGATCAGGAACGGTTCCGAATTGGGCCTCTTCCCCCAGCCATCCAAACCAGACCTGATTGAACTAAGTTTTGTCAGCGCCTGCAGGCAGCCTTGAGAAACAATGTCTGACGAAATCGTTTGGCAAATCATAAACCGTTAGTACTACTCTTCGCTTTGTAGGACGTACATACACTTGCTAACCCACACGACAGAACAGTTTTGTGCCTTTAAGCTCAAGTAGGCTTGCTTGTATTCTTTGCTGTCGCCCCGGGCCCTAACTTTAATTAGGACAACCAAAGGGAATAACTTCTGCAGAAATGAATACTCAGTACGGTGCCTCCAGGGATTTCCCGAGCGATTGCCTGCTAACAATGGTGTAGGTGAGCGGCCTGTGCAACCGCCAAAGTTGCCCCCTCGCCAACAGCCGGTATGCGACGGTCAGGACGTCCCCCAAGGGGACAATCTATCTCTACATCAAGACGGTCCGTAATGCAATAGCAAGGCGCTTGTAGCAAGCTTCTAACAGACGTTTCTGGCATAGATCGAACGATCGCACATGCCCTCGAAATGGTGGGAGAAGATCAAGCTCTCCAAGAACTACCAAGAAGCGCTCCAGCAAATCGAAGGCCGGCTGCAATACTTTCCGAAATTCCTCCTCCACAAATGCAAGCAACGTCTTACCCGACTAGTCCAAGTGGCGACCCGCATGCGCAGGATAGCGGCGGAGGAGACCAGGCTAGGCGAACAACTCGTTCCGAAAATGGCGCCCAAGATCAAACACCGGGAGGAGGCCAGAGAGCGCAAGGCATTGATGGCGGCGAAATTGGAGCGGACGATCGAGAGAGAGCTGCTCGAGAGATTGCGGCAGGGCGCATACGGCGACATGCCGCTCAACTGCAACGCCAACATCTGGAAGAAGGTCCTGAATGCGCTCGAGACGGAGGGCGAGGGTGTCCGGGACAAGGATCTCGACAAGGGCATCGAGGACGAGGACGAGGTCGAGGATGAGCTCGAGAAGGAGATGGAAGAGGAGGACGAGGAAGAGGATGGTGCGGTGGAGTACGTGTCCGACTTCGATGAGAGCGACGACGAAGAGCTAGCCGACATTGAAGATTGGCTGGGCAGCGACGAGGACGACGAGGAGGATGACGATGACGAGGAGGACAGCGAGGAGGACGACGAAGAAGAGGTCAAGAAGAAGAAGGCGGGCGACAAGCGGAAGAGAGGTCGCGCGGTCAAGCCTGCGGCACGGAAACGGAAGGAGATCGAGGTGGAGAGGGAGACAGAGAAGGCAAAGCTGCTTGCATTTTAAGCTGTTCCGAGACTTTTGAGGAGCGAATAGGTTGTTGATGTCGGCAGGAGCCCATCGTTAATGATACCGTCGTACGAAGTACATTGAAAGCCATAACGCAAACGCCACAGATTTCGTTTGAATAAGGATCGTCCCGGGGTGTGCCTCATCCGCATTGTTCACTCGGGGAACCTGTTGACATTCTTCACTAGGGCATCTTCCTCGCGTTGTTTACTCGGGCATGTGTACTTGACTGAACAGACAGCGGAACTGCCCTCACAACGTCCGACGGTCACGAAATCCACGCGTCACCCGCTTCCTTGTTCTCTCTCAACTTACACCGATCCGGTTCCCCTTGTTGCCATAGGTTCCCCAGAACAACTTGCCCTCGCCCAAACGTCACAGATCCAATCCGCCTAGGAGGTCAACATATTTAAGTCAACTGAGATTGATCAACATTTACGATCCAATTCTTCCTCGTACTCCTCTCGACAGTAGGCAACTTACTTTTACCCTTTTCGCATTCACCAGAGAGGCAAGCAAAGAGGAACTCGAGCAAGTCGACGACAAAGACCCTAAGCAAGTCAACGAAATGGAACCTAAACAAGTCGACGAGGAACCAAAGGTTGACTCCGAGTTAACCAAGCAGATTGTGGGCCAGCTACGGCAGAAGCCCTACAACAGGGTCGCTGCTTACCTCGCCGCCCATGATGCAAGCCTCTCTATTCCAATACTAAAACATTGCACTTGTGTTAACAAGTCTTTAGGTCATCCAACGCCAATTCGAACCCGCCTCCTACCTCTTGGGTACCGGAAGGGTCGAGGCTTCTTGGAACATAGACCGACCCGAGCGCGCTATGGCGATAGCGGTCTACATTTTCGAGGAGGAGACGGTAGAGAAACCCAACTGCAGGCAATGCAGTAAACGCATTGGGCCGACCCCTGTTCCCGTTTGTCTTTGCCCCAGCGGCGATGTCGTCGACGGAGCATGCACCAATTGCTTCTATTCTGGTCGCCCTTCTGCCTGCAGCTTGGTCCTCGGTGGGTTGTCTTTTTATCTTAAGTTCTGCGATATGTGCTGATGTGGGCTAAATACGCAGACGCTCGGCGCGACGAGAAAGAAAAGGAGAGACGGGAGGAGGAAGAGAGACGGATGGAGGAGGAGAGACGGACAGAGGAGGAGGGACGGACAGAGGGGGAGGGACGGACAGCGGAGGAGGGAGAGAAGGAGGAGGAGGTTCAGGCGCTGACACCGGCTCTGCTTGATCAGATGTCCTTTGCTGAGCTCGAGGTATTGAAGCATATGGTGGATGATGCACTTGGGCGCCGCCGGAACTTGGGCAGGAACCGGCATCGGGTCGGGGGCAGGAAACATAGAAGCGCCTAATTGTCAGTAGAGCCAGACAGGCATACTTATGTATTGTTGTCAAGCCAATGTTAACCCCGAACTTTTCTCACTAATGCTAAGCAGTGAAGAATGTGGCAATAAAAGCAGGCCTTGGTAAGTTCTGATGAGCTTACAATATATAAGGAGCTTGGTATATAGAAAAAGGGAGTTCTCTGTAATATATTTCCTCCTTCTCGATAGTTTTCTTTCCTTTGTAGAATATAGTCCTTTTTACCCCGTGACATAACCCACTGCCAGAAGCTCCTTGCAGTGTGACAAAAAGCGTGTGACTCTACTTTGTACATAATTATCAATGATGACTGACTGCAGGTTAGCCAAGGTTAAGGAAATAAGTTTTAAACCTGGTTCAGGCGATGCAGTCGGCTCGGCCCCCAACAAGCATGGAGATCGAGTCACATCAATTTATACTACTACTAAGACTTACTATCTCTAACTACCTTAGTCCTTCATTACCCGTGAGTCACATTCTGGTGGCTCAGCGCATTACTTATAAAACCATGAACTTTCACCTGTGCTCGAATTTCACTATTTCTCATTCTTGTCAAACGAAAAACACACAATGGCTTCTCAAGCAACAGACAGGACAGCAGAGGCTACTACCTCCATGGCAGCAATGAAACTTGACAAAAAAGGTACCCATGGTTCTGCGAGACGCAAAGCCTTATTAACGAACTGCTAATCATCCTCCTCCTTGCAGCCGAAAAGGAGCGCCAGAAGGCGGAGAAAGCCAAAAAGTTCGCCGAGAAACGAGCAAACCAACAAGCCCGCCTCGCAGCGGGACCAAAAGCCCTGAAAACCACCGACCAACCCGAACTTCCAAAGTATGTCGAGCAAACGCTACCAGGCGAGAAAAAGGGTCAGTAGTAGTCGTAGTATTCGTCACCCATATCCGCCGCTAAGTTCCGGATGCTCTTTAGTCCTCGGGCCCCTCGATTCACCGTACCACTCGGCCTATATCCCGGGCGTCGTCGAGTCGGCCTGGGATGCGTGGTGGGCCAAGATGGGTTTTTTCGAGCCCGAGTTCACCGAGGACGGCCAGAACCTTGCCCCGGGTGCCTTCGTCATCCCGCTCCCTCCCCCAAACGTCACTGGCGCGTTGCATTGTGGCCATGCCCTGGGAACGGCGCTCGAAGACCTGCTCATCCGCTGGCACCGGATGAGAGGCTTCACCACACTTTATATCCCCGGGTGTGATCATGCCAGCATCAGTACCCAGTCCGTTGTCGAGAAGATGCTGTGGAGAAGGGAGCGCAAAACCCGCCATGATCTCGGTCGGGAGGGCTTTGTCGCGAGGGCACTGGAGTGGAAAGACGAGTACGTTCGCTATCCCCTCCGTTTACAAGCATGCCGTAACCTCACATAACCAAACAGGGTACCACACCAAAATCAACAAAGTGCTCCGGCGGCTCGGCGGATCCTACGACTGGACCCGCGAAGCCTTCACCATGGACCCCCAGCGGAGCGAAGCCGTCATCGAGGCCTTCGTGCGCCTGCACGACGAAGGCTCATCTACGGTGCCAACCGGCTCGTCACTGGTGCGGACATCCTCAACACGACCGTCTCCAACCTCGAGGTCGAAAGCATCCACCTTCCCGGGCCGCACCAGCTCACCATCCCCGGCTACGACCGCAAGATCGAGTTCGGGCGTGCTGACCTCCTTTTTCCTACCCCCTTCCCGAGGGCACCGAGCCCCCCCACACCCCCACACACCCCGAAACCATCACCATCAGCACAACCCGCCTCGAAACCATGCTCGGCGACGTCGCCATTGCCGTGCACCCCGACGACGCCCGCTACACGCATCTGGTGGGCCGGTTCGCGCGGCACCCCTTCGTGGACCGGCTGCTCCCCATCATCGCGGACCGCGTGGCGGACCCGTCCTTTCGGCAGCGGCGCGGTCAAGATCACGCCGGCGCACGACGCGGCCGATTTCGCGGTGGGCGTGGCGCACGGGTTGGAGTTTGTCAATGTACTGAATGATGATGGCACGATGAATGCGAATGCGGGCAGGTTTAAGGGGATGAAGCGGTATGATGTGCGGAGGGTGTTGGGGGAGGAGTTGGGGAGGTTGGGGTTGTTGGTCGGGGAGGAGCCGAATCCGATGACGATTCGGGTGTGCTCCAAGTCGAGGGATGTGATTGAGCCTGTGGTGAAGCCACAGTGGTGGATGAGTATGAAGGAGCTGGCGGGGCCGGCGATGGAGGCGGTTAGGAAGGGGGATATTACCATCCGGCCGGAGACGGCGAGCCGGAGCTACTTCCAGTGGCTGGAGAATATCAATGATTGGTGTTTGTCGAGGCAGTTGTGGTGGGGGCATCAGATCCCGGCGTATCGCGTTGGGTTTGCTGCTAGTGGTGGCGGGCTGGAGTCAGAGGGCGAGGTCTGGGTCGTGGCGCGGAGTGAGGCGGAGGCGAGGGAGAAGGCGGCAAAGAGGTTTCCTGGGAGGGAGTTCTCGCTGGAGAGGGATCCGGATGTCCTCGACACCTGGTTTTCTTCCGGGTTGTGGCCCTTTTCTACGCTGGGCTGGCCGCACAAGACGCACGATATGCAGAACTTGTTCCCGAATAGTGTTCTGGAGAGTGGATGGGATACCCTGTTCTTCTGGAGTGAGTCCACCACCTCCGGCCCCCAAAGCCATTCAATGGTGCTAACCAGACGATAGTTGCGCGCATGATCATGCTCAGTCTGAAGTTGACCGGCCAAGTCCCCTTCCGGGAGGTGTATTGCCACTCGCTCATCCGGGACGCACAAGGCCGCAAGATGTCCAAGTCTCTGGGCAATGTGCTGGATCCGGTGGCGGTCATGGAGGGCATCTCGCTTGAGGCGCTGCAGGAGAGTTTGAAGACGGGAAACCTCGACGAGTCCGAGTACAAGGTCGCCAGCAAGAACCAGAAGCTGTCGTTCCCGAACGGAATTCCCGAGTGCGGAGCGGACGCACTACGGTTTTCCCTCATCAGCTACACGACAGGCGGTATGTCACTCTCGCCCACTGCCATCAAACCCTTGCCGCCGCAAGCTAACTTTCCCAGGCGGCGATGTCAACTTTGATATTAAGGTCATGGCGGGATACCGCAGGTTCTGCAACAAGATTTACCAGGCAACCAAGTACGTCCTCGGGAAGTTCCCAGCCAGCTACGTCCCTCCGTCCAAGCTCGCAAAGACGGGCAACGAGTCTCTCTCGGAGCGCTGGGTCCTCCACCGCCTAAACGTTGCTGCCCGAGCTGTCCAGGAGGCTCTTGAGAAGAGAGAGTTCTCGCGCTCGGCGCAAGCTGTGTATCGGTACTGGTATGACGACGTGTGCGACGTCTTCATTGTGGGTTTCCCCGGGCCGCAACAGCACTCGAAGTGCCGACAGAAGCTGACCAGGCCTAGGAAACCTCCAAAGCCGTCCTCCAGGACGGAAGTGACGCGGCCAAAGCAAGCGCCATTGACACCCTTTATGCTGCCGTGGAAGGCGGTCTTACGCTCACGCACCCGTTCATGCCGTTCCTAAGCGAGGAACTGTGGCAGCGGCTGCCCAGGAGACAGGGCGACTCGACTCCGTCGATTGTCAAGGCGCGGTATCCTGAGTACTGCGCGGACTTGGACGATGGCGATGCTTCTGAGAAGTTTGAGCTCGTCATCTCGTGCGCCAAAGGCATCAGATCGTTGGCAGCTGAGACGGGGATCAAGAGGGACGGAGTCGGTACGTAGCAAGGCGTTCATCTGGTGATTTGACGTGAATCTAACGGTGCATACTCTTAGGATATGTCGCTTGTCAAAACACAGCCGACCTTGCCCTTCTTCGGGCTGACATTGGTCCTCTCAAGTCATTGATCGGTAAAGCCGTCGCGTCTCTGACCATGCTCAGGGCTGAAGAAGGGAAATCCGACTTGGAAGGATGTGCTGCCTTTTCGGTCTCGTCAACCACGACGGTATACTTGAAGCCTGGTCAGACCAATTGAACGATAGTTAGGTACCTAGGTAGCTAGACGACTCTCCATAATGCAGTTGTGTTATGAAAAATCGTGTAAGAGTCATGATGCTACGAGTACGATTGGTTGCCAAGTCGTGAAAGATGGTGTTCAGTGTAATTACGAATACGGACCTCTGCTGTTCTGCAACTCGAGTCACCTTACTTAAGTGGAGCCCTCCTGCAGCCGAAACACCGCCTGAAATGCAACAGGGAACCCTGGCGCAGCTCAAGTCTCAACTCGGCCAAACCAACTCCTCCATCTCCCACCTATCGCATCGGCGACAGCGTGCAGTAGGTATCGCAAGTCGCACGCAGCTTGCCATTCGGACCTGCTGTTCTTTGGATATACCATCATCTCAAAATATTCCATTTTCTAACATCCCACATCCCAATCCACGACCCCGAACCGCCCCGATCGCATTCCCCATCCACGATTCACCGTCACCGCCGCACCGTTATCTCGACCAACACCTCGTCTCGTCCGATCTACACTGCTTTCCCCCTCTCAAAAATAAAATAAAGTAAAATAAACCCAACCACCACTAGGAAAACCCCAATCCCAAACCAACTCTTTCCGCCGTCAACAATTAACAAAAACAACAACCAATCCAACCAACCACCCCCGCACCGCTTCGCACCACACCCGCTTCCACATCCACTCCACTCCCGCTCGCACTCCACTCACCGCGCCCGCCATGGCGTCGTGGTACAAGGACCTGCTCTCCAACGCGTCGACCAACATCTCCAAGCTGCAGCGCACCTACTTCGGTGGCGAGTCCGACGGCGACACCGACGACGACACCCACGTGTGCCGCGTGCTGCGCGCCTACTACGCCGAGAAGGGCCCGCAGCAGCCCCTGCCCGCCTGGCTGCCCCCGGACCCGCGCGCCCCGCCCCCGCAGCAGGCCGTTTATGCGGCCGGTGGTGGTGCTGGTGGTGCTGGGCAGGGGCGGTATGGGGGGTTGGGGCAGCAGGGTGCTGCCGGTGGTGGTGGGGGGTTGAGCAGTCTGTGGGGGGATGGTGGTGGTGGTGGTGGTGGTGGTGGTGGGAATAATGCGGCTGGGCAGGGGCGGGCCCAGTTTGCGAGTAGTCGGAATCCTTTTGCGAGTGGTGGTGATGCGGGGCAACGGCCGGGGATGGGTGGGCAGCGCGCGGGGAGTTACCAAACGGCGGGAGCGGGAGGGCTGATGCGGTCAGCCCGGGAGCCAGCGTGCCCTCGGGAAGGCGGCAGCGCACAGGAGAAGTTGAAGCAGAGGCTCTGGAGCGGCGCGAGGACGACAAGCCCGAGTTCGGGCGGGCCGTTCCAGCCGCCCGGGACAGCAGCAGCAAAGGGCCCGCCACCGGCACAGCCGTCGGGGAACAGATGGGGATGGGGAAACCAGGGGGGCAGCGGGGGCGGTGGTGATAGCGGCGGATATGGAGGGAGGGGAAGTGAACGCCCTGTCATGAGCACGAATGCGCTGTGGTCGGATGGAGGATACGATAATAATTCAGGCGGCGGGTCAGGTGGCCGAGGACCAGCGGGTGGGAGAAGCTATGGGCTGCCGAGCAACCCTAGGGGAGGGCTTCCCAGCGGTCCAAGGCCACGATGAGAAGCCACACATGCGGAGACGAACCGATCTACCGGGCCACCAACTCTCTTCGATCCGGGTTTACATACAACGACAAAACATATCTCGACAGGGCACTATATATACAGCAGATTAATTGCTCTATCCGTTGTTTCTGGATAACCCTTCACCGCCGGGCCCAGAGTCAAGAGAATTGGCCGGTTTTCCAAAGAGGGGGCGTGTGGGCATGATCGAAAAACTGGGGATTTGGAAGAGAGGCCGTATATATATGGGACAGGCTCAGGGACCTGGTGTCTGGCTGGCCGAGACGATATAGTACTCTAATGGCGCAGCAACAACGGGAACTTGCAACAACACTGATTTTATTGAATTAATGCATGCTCCTTGTGTAACAAATAATAATGTTTTACAATATTCTTGAGTCCAGGAGTGATAGGAAAACTCCTATCCACGGTATCTGCTGTCGTTAACCCATCGTAGTCCCTGATGGCAAATGACGACTGCAGTGTTCTTGGTGTACGCGTCAGGGGCGAACTGTGAGGTATATCTACTTGGATTTTGCCGCTACTCTGCATGGAAAATAAGTACTACTACCTCGGCCTGCTACCCCTCCAAGCTCGCATCATCGATCGCGGGGCTGTTCCTCTCAGCACATGCAGCTTAAAAGACCAGCTGACACCAACAACAGGCCACTCGCCTGTGACATGTGCCTCACAGTTATTCTGTTTTCAGATTTGCACACCTGTGCGAGGCTGTCTGCAAGGCAAATTGGAAAATCAATAACCCCGCGATTACTGGTTTTCCAACCCAGCAAAGCTGTGAAGCTGCGAGACTGAAAAGATGACCCGGATCACAAAGATGACGTCGTCCTCGTCGTCGACAAACCTCAATCCGGAGCCATCCTCATCGTCGCAACAACCATCAACAACAGCAGCAGCCGCACCAACCCCGACCACCACAACAACAGCCACATCCTCATTTTCGACCATCTCTCATCCACCCCGTCCACCCTCGCCCACGGGCAGCTTCTACGCCATGAGCGACGACGAGGAAGGCGACTATGACACCATCACCCACACCGAAACTGGCCGCGGCGTGAAGTTGCTCTTCTCCAAATCCAAGGTCTACATCCACCCAACCCCCTCCGCTCGGGATAACATCCCCGGCTACATCGCCCTCCTCCAACAGAAACACCCCCAAAACACCTTGTCCTCTTCCGCCGCCACCAAAACCACCAATGACAACCAACGCCCAACCTCCTCCTCCTCATCCCTCTCGTCCCGCTCCCACCCCACCTCCTCCGACCTCCTCCTAGCCTGGCTGCCCGAATCCGCCCTCGGCGACGCCGCATCCATCTACGTCAAAGTCGACCTCTGCGACAGCGACTCCCCGCCCAAGCAATCCTACCTCGTCCCGCCCCCACCCACCATCACCAGCCACCCGGCCACCGGCGTCGGCCACTACGCCTTCGCCGTCCCCGTCTCGGCCGTGTACTCGCTGCTCGTGCGCCCGCCCAGCGTCGGCTGGTGGTACGGCAGCGTGATCCTCAACTCGCGCGCCGGCGACAGCTTCCCGCCGCTGTTTTTTCACGACAATGAGTGCCAGAGCACCCTGCTGCAGAAGCGCCGCCGCGCCCGCGACGCCTTTGATCCCTTTGGCGAGGCCGGCGAGATGTTTTGGGGTGGGGATGAGGTTCTGCGCTGGCTGAAGCGCTACGTGCCGGTCGAGCGTAGTGTGGCTGAGCCGAATGTGTATCTGGTGGAGCCGAGCGAGGAGGATAGTCTCGCATTTGGGGGAAAAGGGCCCGGGAATGTGAGGACGGTGGTTGGGAGGGGGGATGGGAGTGGGGCTGGTGGTGTCGCTGGGGCGTCGAGGGGTTCGATGGGGGGTGGTGGTGCGGGGAGTAGGGATGGCGGGATGGATCCGTTTATGAAGTTCGTCAAGGAGACGGGGTGGAATATCATGGAGAAGTTCAGCAAGGTCACGACGTTCACGCGCCAGACCGCCCAGGACGTATTGGATAACCCACGCATGCCGCCCCAGGTCAGGCGGCTGCTGCGGAACCCCGAGGTGCAGACGCTGCAGGAGGAGTTTGACAGCGCGCGCATCTATCTGGCGCGGTGGGCTATGGGCATCGCCGAGCAGAGCGAGCGCGATCGCAACCAGCGGATATGGACCGCCCGGGAGGTTATGGAGCTGGAGGACACCGATGTGGGCGAGTTTGAGCTTCTCGATAGCACGAGCAGCTTGACGCTGGAGCAGATGCGGAAGCCGGTGACGCTCAAGGAGTGGAAGACCTTCTTCGACCCGCGGACGGGGCGCTTGTCGGTGACCGTGGACGAGGTCAAAGAGCGCGTGTTCCACGGCGGGCTTGATGCTGAGGACGGTGTGCGGAAGGAGGCCTGGCTATTCCTCCTTGGCGTGTACGAGTGGTACAGCACGGCTGACGAGCGCAAGGCTCAGGCCGCCTCGCTCCGAGACGCCTATATTAAGCTCAAGGGCGCTTGGTGGGAGCGCCAGATCGACAAGGGCGGAGAGGGCGAGGAGGGCGAGTGGTGGCGGGAACAGCGAGGACGTATCGGTAAGTATTACGTCGCGTCTCCTCTTATACATGTCTCTCGAGTATTCTAACCCCTCGTAGAAAAAGACGTCCACCGCACCGACCGCAACGTCCCCATCTTCGCCGGCGAAGACATCCCCCATCCGGACCCCGAATCGCCCTTCTCCACTGTCGGCACCAACGTGCATCTTGAGCAGCTCAAGGATATGCTACTGACCTACAACGAATACAACCGCGACCTAGGCTACGTTCAGGGAATGTCAGACCTACTCGCGCCCATCTACGCCGTCCTGCAGGATGACGCTTTGGCCTTCTGGGGCTTCAAGTGCTTCATGGACCGTATGGAGCGCAACTTCCTCCGCGACCAGTCCGGCATGCGCTCGCAGCTGCGCGCGCTCGACCACCTCGTGCAGTTCATGGACCCTAAGCTGTACGCGCACCTCGAGTCGGCCGACAGCACCAACTTCTTCTTCTTCTTCCGCATGCTGCTGGTCTGGTACAAGCGCGAGTTTGACTGGCCCGACGTGCTGCACCTGTGGGAGGTCCTCTGGACCGACTACCTCAGCAGCAGCTTCCACCTGTTTGTGGCCCTCGCCATCCTCGAGAAGCACCGCGACGTCATCATGACCCATCTCAAGCACTTTGACGAAGTGTTGAAATACAGTAAGTTTCCCCCAGGGTACATACATGCAATATGGAACCAGTGCTAACACCCACCCCTTCGTAGTCAACGAGCTCTCATGCACCATCGACCTCGACTCCACCCTCATCCGCGCCGAGGCCCTCTACAAGCGCTTCCACCGCCTCGTCGACGCCATCGACAAGAAGGGGAGCTTCCCCGCGCCCCGGCACAAGGTCCCCGAGCAGGCATCTGAGCCGGGCTCGTCTTCTCCTGCTGCTGCTGCTGCGGATACGACTGCTATGAATGCTACGGCTGCTACGCCGGCTCCGGGGAGTGGTGCCAGCGCCGGTGCCGGCGCTGGTAGTGGTGGTGGCCGGAACACAGGGAAGGCCCCCGCGCAGCCGCAGAAACAACCTGAAAAGGAGAAAGTGCTTACTCCTGATCTGAGGAGGTTGCTGAGCCGGCAGGTGGAGGTGTTGCCGCAGAAGGACGTGGCTAAGAAGGGGGACGGGGTGGCGGGGGTTGGGGGGAAGTAGGTAACTAAAGAAAGCTAGGTACCTAGGTAGCGAGATGGTTTTCTCTGATTCCGATCTAGTGAGGGTTCTTTTTGTACTTGTAAATGAGCTTTATCTGGTGGCATGATGGAGGTAGCATGATGGATGGATGGACGGATGGATGGGTCATGGATGGGATGGGGGAAAACAGCCGGCTTGTATTTTACTCTAGGTACCTAGTTAGCGAAGTCACGATGTTGTGACAACTTCTCGAGCTGAGCGTAATCCGCCATGTCTGCCGTCATACGCGCCCATGCCAGTCTGGACTCGGAACCAAATAAATGCTATGGCTCTTTGTTTTGGACAACCAACCGACTTACAAAACCAATCAACTATTCTACAGAGTCTACCCAGAACCCAACCATCTCTCTACAACTCATCCCTCCCCGTCTCCGCCCCCGCCCCCGCCCCAGTCCCCGCAGCGGACGCCTCCAAATCCTCCATAGCCATGATCTTGACGACCAGACTGGTCCAGCCAGTGAAATGCTGCGTGCGCTGCCCTTTGCCCGTCTCGGGGTTGTACTGCTCCCACGCGAAGCCCGTCTCCTCCCAGCTCTGGTAGACCGTCTCGACCAGGTTCCGGCGCAGGCGCGAGTACAGGTCGCGCGCCGTCTCCTGGTGCGGGCCTTCTTGCGTGGCGATGTTCTGGTGGAGTCTTGGTGTTAGTGTTTCTTTCTTTTTTTTTGGCGGGGGGGGGAGTAGTGGAAGGGTGGAGGGACATACATAAAGTTGCACGACGGCCAGGTAGTTCACGTTCATCCAGACGGGGCTGCGCCAGTAGTTCTCGGCGGTGCCGTAGAACTCGTCCGTCTTGCTCAGGCTGCGCAGGCCGTGGGGGCTCCAGAGCTCGTCCTCGTCGCCAACCAGCTTCAACAGCTTCCCCAACTTGGGGCTGTCCGCCTTGAGCAGGCCCGTCAGGAACGGGAACAGCGAGATGTAGCCCTTGTGGCAGACTAGCTGGTTCTCCTCGAACGCGTCAACTGTCGCGTCGCAGTAGCAGCCGTCCTTCTCAGACCAGTGCAGGTCGTCGAGGTTGCGCTCGATGGCGTTTAGGATCTGCTTGTAGGTATCCACGTCCTCGGCCAAGCCCAGCGTGTCGCCAATGTTGATGAGAGATTTGGCCATGACGCCGACCCACGACAGCAAGTCAACGTGTAGCTCGCCCGGGTGCGGAGGCTGCGGGCGCGGGTAGTCGTCCAGCCCACTTGTCAGGCAGTGCGTGGTCGTGCGGCCGCGCCAGCGGTAGCCCTCCTTTGTGGAGAAAGCCTCGCGGTCGTACGACTTGATGTCGCCGGCCTGGGTCTTACGGAACCAGTCGAACTGGCGCTGGAGGAGTGGGTAGAGACGGCGGAGGTATTTGATACCAACTTCGGGGTTGTCGAGGGATGCGGTGGCGAGGGACTCGTCTTGCGAGAGGTGTTCTCTGCTCGCGGGCAGGCTGCCGTTGGTCTTGGCTAATTTCTCGACGAAGGCGTCGATGACAAGAAAGAGGGTGGGGGGGTTGGCGTAGTGCGGGTACTGGGTTTGGAACTCGCCGGGGACCTTGCTGCGCGCTTCCGCACCGAGGATCTGCTCGCGGCCAATCCAGCCGTCTTCGTCCATTAGGTTGAACCAGCTCTTGACAATCTCCAGCGTGAGATCAATATCCCAGTCAGCGATGGGGAGCAGGTGGAAGCCCTCGTCCCATAGGAAGCCGCGGGGGAAGAAGGGCCGGGAGGGAATGCTGGTGAAAAGTTCATATGGGCCCTCTAGCGCCTGTTGGTTGCGGGCACGCGCCTCGGCCGTTTCCTCCCAGAAGCCTTCGTTCTCCTCGTCATATTCGGGCGCGTGGGAACGGTCCACTACGGATTCGCCGTAGAAATATCCGATGCCTCCAATCAGGTTCGAAAACATGCTGCGGCCAAACTTCTTAAACTTGTCCGCATTAAACGGCGCCTTCGGGGTGAAGACGCCCGAGAAGCGCTCGCCGAACGACTCGGTGGTCTCCTTGATTTCCCGCGACAGGTCGGCACTCGTGAGCTCCTTTCCGGCCGACTCGCTCGAGAAGATGACGTCGAACTCAAAGTCGCCCTCGAAGACTTTCTGCACGATGTGAACGTTTCCACTGCCGGGTCGGTTGGTGAGCAGGTACACCTGCCACGGCGGTGGGGGGTCCTGCACATCGTATTTGTTCTCGACCAACCAATCGATGCCCTCCTTGAGCTGCCTAAACAGAATCGGCTTCGCCTGCCAGATCTGCTCCTCCGGGTAGGTCAGCGACTGGACGACGGTCTGGCCGGGTCCTCGGATGTTCGAGATGTCGTGGTCGCTCTTAGGCTGGACCCCCTCGCCTTTTGTAACAACAAGTTTGTAGTTCCCCAGCGATTCTGACCGCCCTTTGAGGGTGACATCGCCGTCGTAACCCTTCTCATCGTTGCCTTCCAGAGTTTGAAGCTCAGAGTCTGCGCCCTCTTGGGTGACGTAGAAGGCCACGATCGTCTTCTGGTCCTTGGGGGCATCGTCGTTGAGCACGCCCTTGATCCGCGCCGCCCAGCTGCCGCCATGTGAGCCGCCAGGAACCTTGACGAAGGAGGTGGTAAGGTCGAGGCCGTTCTGGATATCGTGAATGGTCTGGATGCCGCCCCGCCTAGGGTCGTACTCTTCCCAGCCATAACCTTTCATGCCCTCATTTTGTTCGCAGGTGTACCGTACCGCTGGAACCAGGTACCAGTCAGCTCGGAAATATGGGGAGGGCAATGCAAAGGGGGGAAAACCAACTCACTATTCTGGAAGTCGGTGTATGTCTCGATCTTGCCCCACATCAATCCCGTCATCAAGCTCTTGGGTATCCTGGGGCGCACCCCGAAGTAGAGATTGGGTCGGTAGGGCCCCCATAGCAAGCTCTCGTTATTTTGACGGCCGACCTCGCTGTGTAGAATGGGTTCGCCATCGTTGGCCGTGCTCGCGGATACAGAGGCTGCGATGCCTATCAACCCGGGGAGGAGGGCATTGAGCCAGCTAAAGGCCAACATCAATCTCAATTGGCGTCCCAGCACCATTACTATGCTCTGCGGCGGCTTCGGTTAACAAATTAGCCTCATATCCAGTGTCATGGCGGTTTGGCGAGGTAGGTTACGAACCGTTTAGCATGTGCTTCCCGTCACCGTTTGTTGATTATGTGTTTAGGTACATTCGGTACTCGGTATCCGTATGGAACACGTTCGCGTTAGCGCTGCCAGCTCCAATTGGGGTCCAAATCTGGCTTGGCAGTGCTTGGCATATCATCTGTGGCTGCTGAGCTGCCACTCTCTGGCCAAAAAAAGCCGAACACCAAGGGAGGTACCGCCGAAACCTTGGACTAGAGGAATGAGAAGAAAGCCCTTCGATAGCCCAATGTCTACTCTTTATTAGACTCGGTTTCACTTATTTAATTCATTTTGCTCGGTCTTTTTTTAACTCTCTTCGTTTTCTTGGTTTTCCTTTTCCTTCTTTCTCTTTTCTTGATTTCTTGCTCCCCTTGCGAGTTCGGCTTTTTTTGGCCAAAGGGAAGCTGCCTTTCTGCTGTTCGATGTTTCAGCGAGCCCCACTATAAAATGAAACGTGGGGTACCTCTGGGACCCATGTGGAGAGCCATTTGACAGGCGGGCGATGACAGGGAACAAGCACAGATCACCACAGGCCCACCTTTTCGATCTTGGACCCCAACTCACTCAATTCATCAATTCATCCCATCTCCCAAAAATTGTCAACCATCCATTGGGGGCGGCAAGGATGACACCTTCTCAATATGATCGGATCATGAATATGGATTTTAAAGTTCTGACATCCGTCGCGGGTACATCGACCGAGGGAACCAACAGTATGGAACATAAATGCAAAACGCTCTATTCTCGTTAAAAGACCAATCCGTTGGCATCCGACGACGATCGATTTCATCCATTTCGAGAAAGGCTCATCCGCCTCGGCCGGAATCATGACCAGCTGCGGGGGGCTGCGAGATATCTAGGGCTTATGCGGTCTTTGGCACAATGCCAAGGATAGTTCGGACTTCGATGCCTGAGTCCAAGGAAATCGGGAAAGAGTGGCGAACGCGGTCCGAGGAGAGCAAGTTCCGACGGCAGCCCCCCCCCGTGCCCCTCATGTTTTCATCCTGCTCGTGGCATTTCTTTTGCTGCTTGGCATTCGATATGGGGTAGCGGTATCAGGTATGTCCATGATCATACCCATGTAACCGCTACATACCTGCAGGTGCTGAGCAAGATATTAGCTGGTTGAAGGTTGGCCAACTTTCCTGTTGTCACCCAACACCGAAACTCCGAATCCACTCTATCGTCACCCCCACAGAGGCAAACTACCGATGGCCATGATCATGTTCTCGTATTCCTGTTGTTTCGAGGGGGGAGGGGGGGGGGTTGGTGGGGTTTCTGTGAGAGTCGGGACCACGGCGCGAAAACCATACGACTTCAAACGTGCGTCAAAATGTCCGAGTCGCAGGAAGTCTCGGGATACCGAAACAGGGCCCGCGTGGGGATATCGCTCATAGATATCGCCCCTCCTTCCAGGGGATTGTCGATGGACATGCATGATCCCGCATGGCCCTCGTGTATCCCCGGCGAACACATGGTCCCCGAGAACCTGTCGGCCTTCAATGTATGGCCTGGTTATCGGCGACCTCGTTATCACCTCATGCCCCCCCTGCGTCGGTTCGGCAGCGATTGTAACGGTTGATACAAAGTGAGTGGACCGGCACGACACCACCTGCATTGCATCTGAGCCTAACCCGCAACAGGTGGAACGCAGCGGAGATGTCGTTCCTCCCTCTTGCCACATGCAGGAGCCGCCCTTGGCCAGCGATCGGGTGTCATTCAACAGGGGAAAGCTGCAGCTCAACCGCCACATGGCCAGGGGGTGGGGTATGGAGAGCGAATTGAAAGGACGGAGGAAACGGCGTGGTTGGCAATCTCTGCATGGCTGTGGCGGCGACGAAACCGGACGAACGGCGAACTCGAAGAAGCCGAGGCATCGGCCCTCACCGACGAGTGCCCCCATCGTCTTTCAATGATTGTTGTGCCCGCTGTGCAACAATTCACCGGCGAGCAATTTGGAACGTGCTTGTGGAACTGGATGTTGAGATGCGGCTCCAGTGATACAAGACACAGGCCACATGCAGCTGCGTTCGGGATTGGGCGGGGAAGCCAATGACTTTGATCTATCTTACATCTGGCAAGGCGGGCGATAGAAGGAGATCCTTGCCTATCGGACTCGGAAACATGGTTTCTCTTGCTTCCAGGTTCAGTTGCTGGAACCGGAACCCACGGGCAAGTTCCCGGAAGACCTCAACGATCTTGAGCATCATGGACCCGCAAAGCGGCAAGAACCCACCTGGCAAGAACCCAATGGCAAAAACCATTGGCAAGCTCGCAATGCCTTGACTACTTGCGATATTGATGGCCCGAGACAAACTGGCGAGACAGGCGGGTAAACAGTCTTTCATTGTGGAAGCGTATGTTCCACCAAGCGGAATTGCTCGCTGCAACCTCAAGCTGTCCTCTCCGAGTCAGGGAAGCTTGGCTTCGAGATTCGCTTACTGGGCGTTCGGGTATCTGGGTAGAGACGTAGATCTATCCAGGTCCCAATTCTGACCCAGACGAAACCCGTCGGCAGTCCAACTGCCCCGCCCCCGGGGAGTAACTGCAACCCCTTGAGCAGATCTCCTGGACGCCTGCCGAGGCAAACGGGCATCACCGACTGCAATCGTGGATGTAGTGTAGGACCGCTAACCGTCACGACCAGGCACGACCAGGCAGTATTCGATTTAGGGTCCGCCGAATCTGTGACCGAGAACTTCTCGGCGGCCATCGGATTTTGTCCCCGGGACCATCCCCCGCCGATCCAACCGACCGTGCAGTAGCCTGCCGCAACGCTTCGCTACCAGACCCGGGCGGCCAACTCTCCGCGACACAGATTCGACGACACAGAAATGGAAGCCAGGCGGCGGTGGCTGTGTGACCCTTCGACAATCTTCCACAGCCCCCCCTGTCCCGCAGCCGGGATTAGAAGACACACATTGCCAGATCGCCTAGTCTTTTGTTCCTTGAGAGCGCAGCAGCAGCGGCCGGGAATAAACTGCGGAATACTACGTCAAAATGAAATGGGACGGGGTGTCACGTTTTCTCGCGTGGTTAGCGACGCACGCGCGCGGCACACGACGCGGCGCATGCGGGTGCGTGGAACCCTGCGCATGAGACTTCCTGTCATTCTAGGGTCGAATTGACCCGACTCCGAGGCCGGCACTTCCAACCTTGGTCATTCGCAGCGCGGCACTTGGGACGGCACTTGTTGACGAGAAAGAGCGAGCGATGGGGCCGTCGTACTCTATCGTGTTGCTTGCGCAAGTCGTCGAGCCTACGTACGTCAAACGTATACGAGTGTACGCGTGTGTAAGTTGAAGGATACACTTGGTGGTAGCCTGATCAACAACGTTGCGTAACCACCTCGCATATCTCGCAAATCCATGAACCAGAGCGCTGGGTTCTGAAAGGGAACCAACGCCAAGCCTCCCTTGTAAGGCCCCCCAGCCTGCACTGTAACATGTTGCGGCAAAGGCGTGATTATTAATCTTAACCAAGTGAGAGACCACTGCGAAAGACTTCGGAGGAGAGGCTGAAAGTGAGAGGGAAAGCACAAGACTCTATTCGTAAACCATCATCATGATACTGCCAAGCAAGCAACACAAAAAAGACAGCGCAACCAGAATGCCTCCGCCCCATAAACCAAGCCAACCACCACCACCTGTATGCCCCAGCCTGGCCCGAACCCTATACAAAAGAGAGAAGAAGAAAAAAGATAGACAAATGAGAGGAAAAACTGCTGTCTCTCTAACCGTGGGGTATATGCAGAAGTGAAAGCATGAGTGGTGAGAAGAGGTGGGGGGGAGATATGAACAGAGAAGCGAAGGAAGGGAAACCCAAACCCAAAACCCAAGCCACCAAGCCAAAAGAAAGCAAAGAGCAAGTGCAGGGGTCTATGCCAAGTCCCAGAGTCTCGCAAAAGTGCAAGTGCAACAGCAGTATGTACCTTTTCACAGCCACACCAACCTCGCTTGCCGACCAACCAAAAACCCCAAGAAAAACAACGCCGTAGCAGAAAGAACCCAAAAAAAGGAGGTTGCACACAAAGGAAAAAGTCCCTGACGTCGTCGAGTCAAGGACGTCGAGCCCGCCACGAAAGGGCTGGCTCCCGGTCACGAGGCGAAGGGGGGGCGGTGACAATCATTCCCTCTCTGAGAACGAGCATTGATCGGAATGGGCGACCAAGGCGAATGAAATGGGGTTGGTTGAGTTGGTGTGTGCCCGTGTCTCGGGACCCCCTTCCAGGCGCTGCTTCGTTTCCGATCGGCACCGTTTCGCTGCACGCTAATTCGTTAGCCTCCCGTTTGGTCTATCCTTCCCCGGAAAAAGTAGGTGGGTGTCTTTGTTTGGTGTGTCGGCCATCTCCAGATATTTCTCCAGACAGTGCCAGGATCGAAGGGGCGGCATCCCCGTGCAAGGGACGGGAGCCAGGGGAGGGAAGGCGAAAAAGTTGAAGTTGAAGGAAAGAAAGGGGGAAAGGGGGAAAGACATACCCATCAGATCGACCGTTGATGATTTCACATCCCATGGCCCTGGTCCGCCCCCGACGGATCAAAGTCGTAGTACCCCCCCGCCGCGTACGGCGTATCATAGCCATGGTAGACCTCCCCGGCCGCATCCACCATGACGGCATGCCCGTGGACCGCCGCCGTCACCGGATGCGGCGCGTACCCGGCGTAGGGGCTCATGTGCGGGTGCCCGTACAGCGAGGAGTGGTCGACGGCCGGCCCGGGCCCGGGTGTGCTGCTCGCGGTGACGGCGCCGCCGTGGATGACGCTGCTGCTGCTGCCGCCCGTGTGGCCGCTGTGGCTGTGCGTGTGCTGCCCCGTGCTGGTCGAGGCGTGCCCGCGCGCGACGACGTGCCGCATGTTGAGCCCGCCCCAGGGGAGGCCGGATAGGTCGCCGCCGTCGTCGAAGGTCAGGTCTTCGGCGTCGGGGATGTGGTATGCTGAGCCGGCGTACTGTTGGTTCTGGGCATCGCGAGCTGCGCGGTCTTTTTGTTCGCGCGCTTTCTCTCCTGTTAAGGGGGGAGGGAAAGGGTTAGGTTTCGTTGCGGTAGTGGGTGGGTGGTGGGCCCGAAAGGGGGGTCGGCGACGTACTGAACTTGCGCTGGGCGATCCGGTTCTGGATGCGCCGCCTCTCATCGGGCTCGGTCACCTCGGTCCAGTCGTCGGTCTTCTTGGTCTTGGACGAGGGCTTGTCCCGTTTTGAGATGGAGGAGGAAGAGTGCCTTGATGATCTTGAAGACATCTTGGATGGTTCTTTCTCTGTGTCGGACCCTGAGGTGGGCTTGCTGGTCTTCTTCTTGCTGCTTCGGGTCTTCCCTGAATGGGAAGAGGGAAGAGGGCGGGTGCATTGTCTCGGCGTAGAGTGACTGCTCCGCGACCCTGTGTCGTCCCA